GTCTATAAAATCTCTCGATCATTGTGTGTAAAGATTTTAGACATCTTCTTGCACACTTTAATGCTTCCAAATGATTTTGCTGCATTTATGAAGTGCACATGTCTTAAGGTGGTTCAGTATAATGCAATTTACTATCTGTGATTTGATTGGACTGGAATCACAGGTCTGAATTTTCTACTTAATTTCCACAGACAAGAAAAGATAAAGTAGTGACTGCAGGTTAAAGAAAAGTAGTGGAGTAAAAGTACCGATACAGCACTAAAAATGTACTCAAGGGAAAGTAAAAGTACACATTTTTAAAACTACTTAGTAAATTACAATTCCTGAGAAAAAAAAATACTGAGTTACAGTCATTTGAGTATTTGTAATTTGTTACTTTACACCACTGAGAATTAGTGGCGAATTAGCATGAATTTTCATGATTTTATTTTATTTTTGGTGACAGTTTGTCTGAAAGAGATTATATTAGTTCATGTGAATGATCTATTAAAATGTAAAATAGTTATTTTTCCTGTAAGATGAAGTTATCTGTCTACTCCTCTACAAGTGATTCCCAATAAGTTTCCTTGATCTGTCAAACATGAAAGAAGATATTTAAAAGAATGTTGGAAATCGATAGCCATTAACATCCACAGTAGAAAAATGGAAGTCAATGGCTGCCGTTTCCAACATTCATCAAAGTACCTTCTTTTATTTTAATGTAAATGATGGTAGATTTAATGTTTTATTTTAACTGTCCCTTTAAGGTCAAATCAACTACTCAAAAGTAAAAAAAAATGACTACGCTTTTTTTAAACATTCAACTCAGTTTATTACTAATTAATTTAGTGTGTTTATTTATTACAAAAATGTGTGTATTTCTGTATATTTTCTTTATAGATTAATGTGAACATGGCTATTGCCATCATTAAATTATTAGCGATGGAATGCTGTTTACTGTCAAGCAGGTACAAATGCACATCTGTGTTTTCTTCCCTTTTCTTAAATTTCTTTAAAGAGAGACAATGTAAGAATTTTTAAAGATCTACAACTTGTGTATTTTATTTACTTGTGTATCCTGATTTTTGAACTTTAAACTGTTCATCAAGATATTTTTAGTCTTTGTACTATTCAAAAAAACTATGTTTATATATCAAACAACTGTATTGTGTATTGTATGTAACTTCAGGTGTTCATCATTAAAACATTTTATTATTTAAAATACACAAAATACACACTCATTAAAAATGTGCAACATTTCCAAGGCACACTTAAAACTACTATTTTTGCTACATTTCTTAATTAAAAAAAAATGGACTTTAACTTTAGCTAAGGGTGCTTTCACACCTGTAGATCAGTAGTTTTGTTCCGAAACAGGGTTTAAAATTGTTACAATGTTGTTTTGTTGTTGGTGGATTTCGCTTTCACACAGAAAATTTATAACAATAATAAAACAAGTCAAGTGCAAGTCAACTCTCCTCCCTTTGGACAGAGCCTAAAAAACAGCTAGAATTATGCATTACAAGCTTTACATTATAAAGAGAACTAACAGAGGAACCGAGACTGCAGTCAGAGCATGAAGCAGGTGAATTCTGATCTTTCTTTTGAGGTGTCAGTACAGAAATGAACATAATTGGCCTAATACAAAATATTATAAGATAAAAATGTGAAAAAAAAATACCAGGTGGTAATTTGGGTCAATTTTCTAAACGGATAAACAGCACTCGCTATTCTTTCAGCATGCGTTCACTTTCATATTCGACAGGAAACACACATAGGAATGACATCCCACTCAATGCATCATTCTCTCTTAATATATTATATACACTTTACACCTAACCATAACACACTTTGATATTGGCTGGTTCATTATTTTGTTGGATCTGATTCGTATTGCATATGTTGCTTTGTTCACATATGCCCAACGAACTGAGCTAACGGGGAAAAAGCACCAGGTTCCAAGACAAACATCTAAGGGTGCTTCCACACCTGTGAATCGATTCAGTTGTTCCGAAACAGAGATTACAAATGTTACATTGTTGCTCTTTGCTCTTGGAGCGGTTTGCTTTCACACTGCAAAGTTTCTAATCGGCCCAAAAGAGCTAAAACAAGTCACGTGCGAGTAAACTCTCCTCACATTGGTCAGAGTGTCAGGGTTTATTTTGCAGCGTCCCGCTAAACTGTCAGGAGAGGTGGTGGTTTGATGGTGATTGACAGGGTGCACGTGCGCGATGTGTCTGAGGAGAGATGCGGTGGGGAGGGGTGAGAAGGGTGCACGACGTAGCCTATTTGAGGACCGGGAGGGAGACGCGAGATTACCGGGAGATCATCACTCGTTTGCGGGCATCCGGAGACTCACGAAACTTCCCGCCCTACTCATAATTCTCTCTTCATATAGCCGTAAGCCTATTACATATCCATAAAACACTGTGATATAACCGCGCTCGGATCGGATCGCTTTCTCACTGTAATCGAACCGCTCCAGGGTTTGTTTCAATCGAGCCGAGACCACCTCATTCAAGCAATCTCGGAGCGATTACTTTGGCGCGGAACAGAGCGCGATTGCCCTGTTCACATATTCCAAACGAACCGCGCTAACTGGGCAATCGAGACACGTTCCGAAACAAAAGTGTAGGTGTGAAAGCACCCTAAGTGTGAAAGCACCCTTAAAGGTTTTGTACGTATGTTTTTGACTTTTCTAAAGCATAAAAATACCATAATATGTTTGCAGATATTCAAGAAAAATTCCTATTAAGTGAACATTTTTATTTATTAGTAGAACAATGCTGAAGTCAGATACTCTGCACATTATGAGTTATGTTTTCTTTTAACCCACCCAATGCCAGTTTGGACAATTATATTTCAGCACCCCAGGTTGCCTTGTCAGAAAGGTAGAACAATGCTGAAGTCAGAAAGGCTCTCAAAGCAAACATCCGTTACTGAAATGAGACCTCTGGTGGACAGTGGCAGACTCCAAAATGAGATTCAGCTTCACATGAGGTGGTTATTATCTAGCAAATAATATAAATATTACGAACATAAACATTAGGTGAGCACGTTACATTGTAACCCCGTGTCCTATCAACAAGCTACATGAGGAGATTTGCAGTGATAAGCAGTTAAGCTGTTTGCAACTGACGAAACACAACATAAATTTAAATACAGCCATTTAGAAGCACAGAATAGTGCACTTACTGCACTCACATGGAAGGTTTATGATCTAATAATACATATTAAACCTCTTTAACATTATAAAATATACATGCTGAATCACTGATATTTGTTGGCTTTCACTGAGTCACAGGTCTATTGTAAAGAAGTTGAGTTCAACTAAGTTCAATTTCAGATGGTTTATTTTATTTTCAAGATCTGGGGTAAACTATCTGCTGCTGCTTTCAGTAGTATGGCAATAAATGTCCACATTCAACACTGAATAAAGCACATGAGGTGGAAGTAGAAGTTTTCTCTAGTTCAGCTGCAATAAATAGTAACTTTTCTTTGCTTAAAATCAAGATCACTATATTCTCACGATTCTGTAGATGTAATATGAGCAGGTTATTATTATTGTTATTTCTAAAAAAATATATAGTAAAATAATAATATTAGGCCTATGTGTAGGTCTACAGTTGGTTCAAATGCTAAATTTTGTATACAGTTGGAATGGTGGACTTGAATAGACTTTAAAAATGTCCTGTTTGTTAATGCACGATAAAACGATGACATCAGAATACAACTATTCATAATTCTAATGTTGAATTATTATGTTTGGGACATATGCTTGTCATTTGTCATTGACAACATTATTAAAAAAAAAATTTCACTAGTAAAATGAGACATTTGTCATTATCAAGCTCCGTCATCCCTCATTATATTCAACATAGGGTACAGTATTTACGCTAACACAGTAAACAATTATTATCATGCAAAACACTGTGTTCGCTATGAAAGAAAAAAAAAACCTTAAATGCTTGTAATCATAACTCTAAAATGCTATATGGTCATTTAAATGATGTGCATTTCACTTTCACTTCCAAATGTGACTCATGACCGCTCTGTGCAACAAACTGAACGTTATTCACAGCCTATGCATGTTTGCTCACTAAAATAGGCATTATTGGCGAGCATGCACATCCTCTCAGTAGTAAACAAACAGCTCGCAGTCAGCTCACGTGTGATTTCGCGGTCGTGAATACATCATTACATTAAGACAGAAATTACATTTTTGGGTGAACTATACCTTATAAATACAATATGCATCTCTTTCATAGCCATTTGTAGGTGTCCACATTGCTGTGAAGACTTGTCTGACTGCCTTTATGCTTCTCTCCTGACCTTGAATAAATAATTGGCTGAATCGTAGAAAAGCTGAATTAAGATCGTGTAAGGTCAAATCGAGATTGTGACCTTTTTTCAATTAATCGTGCAGCCCTAATAGAAACCGTTTCAAATATATCAATTCAAGATGTTGATTAGAACAAAAACTATGTGGAAAATATTCCTTCAAAGACGTGCCGTTGCTTTTATTTAGAACACGATTTAAATCAGCCTTTAGGCTCGATAGTCAGGCTCGCTCCTGTTGGTCCTCAATCTGGCAACCTGCGCTTGTTTTGATCCAGGAATGTAATACCTAGTTCAACCACTGGGTGTACTAGTATTAATCTGGGGTCGCCAAAGCGAAATAAACCGCCAACTTATCCAGCATATGTTTTACGCAGCGGATGCCCTTACAGCTGCAACCCATCTCTGGGAGACATTTAGACTACCCAATTCATCTGTACCACATGTTTTTGGACTGGGGGAAACCGGAGCAGCCGTAGGAAACCCACATGAACGTTCGGAGAACATGCAAACTTCACATAGGAACGCCAACTGACCCAGCCGAGTCTCGAATCAGCGACCTTCTTGCAGCACTACCTACTGTGCCACTGCGTCGCCTACATTCAATGTCTTTTAATAGTTAATTTTATTTTACAAATGATTTCAGGTTTACAATTGACAGGAATTCTTCGCATCACCTTGACTTTGGAGTTCATCAGGACATTTATTCTATTTTATTCTTGTTACAGTATTTGTGCTAACTTAAAATGAAATCTATTTATTAGTCAAATAAAATGTGTGTAATTTAACATTGAGTGGCCATTAGTCAATTATTCCAGAAAGACTTAAAAAAAGTGTGAAACATTTATTTACATTTTTGTAGTACAATACAATAAAAACATGAATATTTTTTACATCAAAAGAAAATGTAAACTACTGAGTTTGATCAGTTTCGCCTGTGTTCTCTTTCACGACTGTGATCTCTGTGTTTGCCATTACCTCTGTCTCTCTCTCTGTCCCTGTCTCTCTCTCGTTGTCGGACTCTCTCCTCATCTCTCTGTCTTCCTCCGTCTCTCTCTCGTTCTCTGTCTCTCTCCCCATCTCTCTGTCTTCCTCCATCTCTCTCTCGTTCTTTGACTTTCTCCACATCTCTCTGTCTTCCTCCGTCTCTCTCTTGTTCTTGGTCTCTATCCCCATCTCTCTGTCTTCCTCCGTCTCTCTCTCGTTCTCGGTCTCTTTCCACATCTCTCTGTCTTCCTCCGTCTCTCTCTTGTTCTCGGTCTCTATCCCCATCTCTCTGTCTTCCTCCGTCTCTCTCTCGTTCTCTGTCTCTTTCCCCATCTCTCTGTCTTCCTCCATCTCTCTCTCGTTGTCTTTCCCCATCTCTCTGTCTTCCTCCGTCCCTCTCTCGTTCTCGGTCTCTTTCCCCATCTCTCTGTCTTCCTCCATCTCTCTCTCGTTGTCTTTCCCCGTCTCTCTGTCTTCCTCTGTCTCTCTCTCGTTCTTTGTCCCCCTCTCTCTCTCCTTCTCTGTCTCTTTCTCTCTGCTGTGTTTCTGCATGTCTTCTGTCTGTCTTCTTGCCCTCTTCTCTCTCTCTTTCCTTCTCTTTTAACTGCTCCTGCTCATCTGCTCTGTCTCTTCTATTAGCCGCAGGTCCTTTCACGCTGTATTTCTCATACGCCACATCCTCCTTCTCCTTCTTTACTCTGATAGGAGAAGATGCAGAGCTTTCAGAGCGCCCCTCACGTTTCTCCTCCTTCAGAGCCTTTTTCTTCTCTTTCTTCTCCTTCTTCTTTTTCTTCTTCTCCTTTTTATCTGAAGCATAACAAACAATGTTTATCAATACATTTGTATCTCTTGTGACACTTAAAATACTAATCATTTGTCAGACTTATGTATTATCAGATTAATGCTTATATTTCATGAGTAGTTACATATTCCAGACACATTTATTGACATTTACATTTACATTTAGCAGACGCTTTTATCCAAAGCGACTTACAAATGAGGAGAGGGGAAAAAATTTACACAACTAAGAGCAACAATGAATAAGTGCTATAGGCAAGTTTCAGGTCTGTAAAGTCTAAGAAGGGAAGTATTAGTAGTATTAGTATTTTTTTTTTTTGGTACAGTTAGTGTGATATTCAGAGAGGCAATTGCAGATTAGGAAGTGAAGTGGAGACTAAATAGTTGAGTTTTTAGTTGTTTCTTGAAAGTAGCGAGTGACTCTGCTGTTCTGATGCAGTTAGGGAGTTCATTCCACCAACTGGGCAGATTGAGCGTAAGCGAAAGTGATTTCTTCCCTATTTGGGATGGAACCACGAGGCGACGTTCATTCACAGAATGCAAGTTTCTGGAGGGCACATAGATCTGCAGAAGTGAGAACAGATAAGAAGGAGCAAGGCCAGAAGTCACTTTGTAGGCAAACATCAGAGCTTTGAATTTGATGCGAGCAGCAACTGGCAGCCAGTGCAAACGGACTAGCAGCGGAGTGACATGTGCTCGTTTAGGTTCATTGAAGACAACTCGTGCTGCTGCATTCTGGAGCAGTTGAAGAGGCTTGATAGAGTTAGCTGGAAGCCCGGCTAGTAGAGAGTTGCAGTAATCCAGTTTGGAGAGAACAAGAGCTTGAACAAGGAGTTGAGCTGCATGTTCAGATAAGAAGGGTCGGATCTTTCTGATGTTATAGAGTGCGAATCTGCACGATCGAGCAGTTCTAGAAATGTGGTCAGAGAAGTTTAGTTGGTCATCAATCATTACTCCAAGGCTTTTCACCATTTTGGATGCAGTAATCCATCTGGATTGAAAAGTTATGGTGAAGAGTCGAGTTGGCAGAAACTACAAGCATTTCCGTTTTTGCGAGGTTCAGCTGAAGATGATGATCTTTCATCCAGTGTGAAATATCCAACAGGCAGGCTGAAATGCGAGCTGGAACCGAGGGATCATCAGAATGAAAAGAGAGGTATAGCTGGGTATCATCAGCATAGCAGTGGTAGGAGAATCCATGTCTCTGGATGACTGGTCCTAGAGATGATGTGTAGATGGAGAACATAAGTGGCCCAAGAACAGAGCCTTGAGGTACCCCAGTGTTTAGATGCTGTAGGTTGGACACCTCTCCCCTCCAAGACACCCTGAATGACCTGTCAGAGAGGTAAGATCTAAACCATTGTATAACAGTGCCCGCAACGCCCAGTGACTCGAGCGTAGATAGCAGGATCTGGTGGTTGACAGTGTCAAAAGCAGCTGACAAGTCCAGCAAAAAAATTTATTGTGCTAATTTCTCTGTGTTCATGTATTCAAAGCAGATTTATGTATTACAGCTTTGGTAACACTTATCACACAAAAAGGTTGTATTAGTTATGTAAACAATTCTGTTTATAATTTTAGTGGACAGAATGTCAAAGCGCAGTCTTGGAATGGAGGGGGTCTGGTTCAGGGACTATAGTTATTTGCAGACGTTGTTGTTGTTCTGTTGGCCTCATCGAACATGAACCTTCAGCATGCACTGGGGCGGTTTGCTGCCGAGTGTGACTCGGCTGGGATAAGAATCAGCACCTCCAATTCCGAGGCCTTTGTGCTTCACCGGAAAAAGGTGGTTTGCCATCTCCAGGGTGGAGAAAAGTCCTTAGGAGTTTAAGTATCTCAGGGTTTTGTTTACAAGTGAGGGAAGGATGGAACGTGAGATTGACAGGCGGATCAGTGCAGCGGCAACAGTAATGCGCTCGATGTATCGGTCCATTGTGGTAAAGGAGGAACTGAGCCGAAAGTCAAAGCTCTCGATTTACCGGTAAATCTATGTTCCTACTCTCACCTATGTTTATAAGATTTAGGTCGTGACTAAAAGGATAAGATCTCGGATACAAGCGGCCGAAATAAGTTTTCTTCACAGGGTGGCAGGGCTCACCCTTATAGATAAGGTGAGGAGCTCTTTCACCCGAGAGGAGCTTGGAGTAGAGCCGCTGCTCCTCCACATTTGTAGGTGTTTAACTGAATTGCTTTAATGCATTCCTGCTTTGTGCTCACATATACACTTTAGTCTTAATAGTACATAACCAGGGTGGGCGTTTTTCTGCTTTCTCGAATTGAACGCAGTAAACCAATCACAACAGACGAGTCTTCTCACCTTTTTTAGGCTTCTTCACAGGTACAGCGTACTCTTCCGCAGACTCTTCCTCAGAGGATGAAACTGGTTTAGGAGCACATCCCTCCTCGCGTAATTGTTTAGTGATGTCATCAATGTCATCAGTGTCCTTCGGTGGTCGATAATTCGCTACGTGGTCCACACGTATGGTCCGGCCCTTAATCTTAACAGTAGATAAAACAAATAGCAAATACATAAGGCAATGACATGATGATATTATTTCCTAGATGTATTATAAAAATAAACTAAATATATGATAAACATGTTTTTAATATCTGAATTACAATTCATTTGTATTTTTAAATCGTATTATGCATTTTACATGTAAAACTAAGAAATAAATTAAGAGACCACTTGGAAAGTCTCTGTTTCTCTGAACTTAGAAAATATTTATGTGTTCGAGTTTTAGTTTTGCTCTGCAAAAAACAGGTGACATTCTTCTCAATTTAAAATAAATTTGTCATTTAGAGCTTAAAAGGACAATTGGAAAAAAAAAGCTGCCATGTTTTAGGCATTTTTCTGGTCATTTTTATTTAGACAACACACAAAATATCAATGCTTAACTGCAAAGGAGTTAAGAAAGCCATATTTGGTGCAATAACCCTGATTTTGAAAACAATGAAAACATTTATTTTGTCAATTTAAAAAACTCTAAATTATTTTATATTCGAAAGAAATGTTATTAGACTAGAGAGTGGGGCGGGGGTGAGAGCGTGAGAGATGAGAAGCAGCACCTGTTGCCGCACTGGTTTTGAGTCCCACAGAGGAGCTCTTGATAATAAAAGGAGAAGAGAGGACCAGGCCTGGACACTTTGGGCCCTATCATATGCAAAGCAATTGTTGTTTGCTAGTTTCAGCTCGACACGAGTCGTTTCGACGTTTTGCACCACGGTGTTTAAATAGCAAATGCATTTGCGCTCATATGTGCGCCCATAGGTGTTCAGGTCTAAAAAAGGAGGCATGTTGAGGTGCATTGCTGGCGCGTTGCTATTTTGAGGAACTTAAATAGAAGGTTCAAATGGATCAGATCAAAGCTGGTCTATTTTCCAGCGCAGAGCGCATTAGTTGTGCGCCTCGCTTACACATTTCTTAATACACAGAGTATGTACAGCAATACGCAAATATCTTCACAAATAAAAAAAATAAAGGATTAAAATATTACAAAAATTATTATTTTCTAGCCTACATAAATATAAAAAACATACTTTCATTCTTCTTTATCTCGGGGGCTTTTTCAGTTTATTCATAACAATTTGCTTTTGTATAATGTTATTATTAATAGTAGTAGTATTTATTATATGCATATTTAAATTTGTTTTACTAAAAACAAGCTTAGATTTGTTCACCTGTCAGGTTTTAGACCATATTGGGCACAGCATGTGTATTTGGATATAACTCAGTTTTTTGACCACACTTTATTATTACTGTTCATTTATTCGTTTGCTGGAAATTAGAATTGAATTTAGAAGTAGTTTTGAAACAACTCTTTGTGCTTAACAAACAAAATTAATTATGTATAGGGCAATGGAAATCTGTGCGTACAACATTTTTCCCTATCCATGAGAGTGAAAGAGAAAGTAAACAATGAGGAGGCTCATCTCTCATTCTGGCGCTGTAGATGCTCTGTTTAACTGTTTTCTTTCTAGTGAAGCCTTCAGTTTTTCCACTTACAAAGTCCGCCATTAGGGGTGATTTTAGGATTTTCATTTTAGGGGGGCTTACCTCCTTATATGGTGAAAAAAAAATCTATTATAAATATAAATATTATAAATATAATATAAAGCCTAATATTACATTCATAAGTAGTAATTTAATAGTGTCTAATATGGGTTGTATACTAGTATTCCATAGACAGGCATAGCCATTTGAGTTCTGAATAAGGCAAATAGGCTCAACCCACCTGTTCACTGTAGTAAAAAGCACTTTCTATAGTCAAGTGCATTTTTTGTTTCCAGGTATTAAATAAATAAACTGCCACTTTTTTATTGAACTGACACACACACACACACACACATGTGTATATATATGTGTGTGTGTGTGTGTGTGTGTGTGTGTGTGTGTATATATGTATATGTGAAAAGTTTAGATGCAAAAAGCCATTTGATATTTTCTTCTAAAATGAGTGATAAAATAGTGACGAATAAGTTATTTTCATTGACTTTGAAGTTAAATATATGAACATAAACATAGGAAGCTGAGATAAATGCTCATTTTAGGAGAACGTTTCAGATGGCACTTAGAGGTTTTTGCATCTGAACTCTTCTGCATCTGAATAAAATACAATTCAGGTTGAAAAAGACCACATCACTAAAAAGACACTAGAAAAGCGTTTCACCTTGATTCCGTTAAAGTTATCGACAGCCAGAATAGTGCTCCTCTGATCTTCATAGCACAGGAAACAGAATCCTTTGGATTTGCCAGTCTTTTTATCTCGAACCAAGTTGATGTTGGCAATCTCTCCATACCTGACATTCACAGAGGAGGATTAAGCTTTACTAGCAAAGAAAATAAATACTGACGTCTTTAGCACAAAAAGACATGTTTAAAATGAACACTCTGGCTTACTGAGAGAAAACACAGATGATGTCTCCTTCTGTCAGCTCATATGGAAATCCACCTGCAGATTGATATTAATATACATATTTACATTACTTAAAATAAATACACACACACACACGCACGCACACGCACGCACACATATATATATATATACATATTTATATAAATATATATATACACAAACACACACACACACACACACACACACACACACACACACACACACATACATACATACATACATACATACATACATACATACAAGTCAAAATTTTTAGACATCCTGAATTAATAGCTGTACATTTTCCCCCCCAATTTCTGTTTAATGGAAAGATTTTTCAACACATTTCGAAACATAGTTTTAATAACTCATTTCTAATAACTGATTTCTTTTATCTTTGTCATGACGGCAGTACATAATATTTTACTAGATATTTTTCAGGATACTAGCATTCACCTTAAAGAGCAAATTAAAGACTTAACTAGGGTAATTAGATCAACTAGGCCAGTTAGGGTTTTAAGGCAAATCATTGTATAAAAAAGATTTGTTCTGTAGACCATCGAAAAAAAATATTGCTTAAGGGGGCTAATAATATTGCCCCTTAAATGGTTTTAAAAAATAATTTAAAACTGCTTTTATTCTAGAAAAGATTAAAGACATCAAAGTTTCTCCAGAAGAAAATAGTCAGAAATACTGTGAAAAGTGTATTTCTCTGTTAAACATCATTTGGAAAATGTTTGAAAAAGAAAAAAACACACATTCACAGGAGGGCGAATAATTCTGACTTCATGGTTTGAATTGCAATGTTCTGTCTAGTAAATGAATGCAACATAAAAAATACAACAATAAATGTAAATCACTTTGAAATTGTACAAGGTCAGATCACTGTGTACCAGTGTGGGTTTCTGGAGGACTAAAATCATGCCATTGTCTACAAAAACACACATTTAGTTAAACAGATGAATGCTGCCACCATCTGGCAGAATGTAAATATAGTCCATCCAGACAGCATCTTAGCTTCCATAACAGGCATGCCCAAAACTCAGTCCTGGAGGGCCGGTGTCCTGCAGAGTTTAGCTCCAACTTGCTTCAACACACTTGCCTAAAAGTTTCTAGTATGCTATTTAAAGCTTGATTAGCTTGTTCAGTCAAGTTTAACTAGGGTTGGAGCTTAATTCTCCAGGACTCCGGCCCTCCAGGACCGAGTTTGGGCACCACTGGTCTATAATAATGATTGCCGAAGTGCTGTGACAGATTGATCTATCTTTTGGTCCACAGCCATAATGTAACTATGTAATAATGTTCATCATTTCCTCACCGATGAAGACCCAGGCGCTGTTTTTATAGACTGAATGCCAGGACACAGTCTCTTTGATGCCCAGCTGAGCTTCTCTTTCATTCAGTTCATTGATCAGCTTCACTTTGGTCAGTGGACTACATTTAATGAAGAAAAAAAAAAAACAGAAAAAAAGACAGATAATGAATATATGTTTGCTTGTTCATTCATTTTGTGGGCCACAATATGTCATTTTGTTTATTATTCTGTTATGGTGACTAAACCAAAATATGAGAAAATGCAGTATATTCAGGATTAGGGCTGCACAATATATTGCTTTAACATCGATATCGCAATGTACAAATATGCAATAGTCACACTGCAGCATCCGCAGTGTTGAGTTGTGATTACAATGACCAGGAATTACATTTCAGAACATAATTTTTGGAGTCATCGCAAATTTGAATCCTAACAGAGTGAAAGATTTTCATTTGGATGCGTTTTAAGGAACTGTGACAAGTGAAAGTAAACCAAGAAATTTTAGTTTTATAGTTTAGAGATTTAACAAAGAATAAAATTGTTTCTAGTTACTACAATTAATACAATATAATGTTATTTGATTAATGTTAGTTTAATATTCTTAGACTCCACAGAAAACCATAAAACACAAAACAAACAAACACATTCTACTGCATTTATCTATGCTTACAAATTGTTTATAATGTTTCATGCAAATATTTGAATTGTTTACACAGAGTTATTTAGGTAATCTTTTGTGAAATCATATTTATATCGCAATGTATATTGCAGAAAACTAAAAACCGCAATGTCATTTTTTTTACCCAATGTCGTGAACCCCTATTCAAGATTCATTATGACTTTGACACTTTTTACAGCCTAAAATCTTTAAAAATTAAAGATGTCAACACAATAAACATTGATGTATATGGTTTTGTTATGCAAGTCAATAGTTTTGTCCCACTGATAACATTTCTTCTATATTCAACATACAATGTAAACTGATAATTGGTCACAAAAGATTATCGTTTTCGTAAAGGAATCATACATGTTTATATTCATTTTTAGACAACACAATACCAATGTTTTAAATAACGACGAGTTAAGAAATCTGAATTTAGTAGACAAAAATTGACTTTATATCACAACAAAGTAAAATGATTATTATTCTGACCAGTTGTAAGCTTATGAAAAAAGATATACTTTAATGAGTTGATAAAACTAAAAATGATTTCTCAATAACAAGTAAATAACAATTGAACAACGTTCCACGACAAAACATTTCTATTATAAAAAATATTTTAATTATATTATTATTCCAGTAAAACACATGTAACTGAATGTTAATGTTTAATGTAACAGTTTTCGTTTATATTTATGCTAGCTTTAGCTGTTGCTGCAAACCAGAGGCTTCTGGCTGTATCGACATTTCATTCCATGACTGAATAGTCTAATTAAATTCTCAAACGTACAAGAAACACGGTATAACAAATGTATTGAAAATATTTTAATCAAACGCAAACATTTAACTCATCACTTACTTCATTTTGGTGAATCGAAGTCACTCCGGAAATAGTTTCTTTTTCGCAGTCCACACGTGGTGCCATTGTCTTCCGGTTTAGACAAAAGGATTGTGGGATGTGTATTTGACTGACTGTCCATACGGCGTTTTTGTAGTAAAACCATGCTAATTGCAAAGTAGCTAAATTATTTCGCTAAATCATTAAAACAGTGGTAAATAATAAAAAAAATGAACAAAAAACAAATAAACAAACAAACAAACGAACGAATCATGCTTACAACACTGCTAAAAATTAATAGTTTCTGTCAGTTTGATTGAATTATAGCCTACATTTTCCTCAGTTTAGAGGCTTAAATGGTTGAATTAGCAAAAATTTCAGCAATATTTACTGCATTTTTGTTATTTTGTACCTTAAACAGGCTCTAAAGGAAACAAAGAGAAAACTAGATGTGATGATTAACTTAATGTCTTCATAAAAATAGGCTATAGCATCATATTTGACAGAAATGATTTATCAAAATAAACAATTCTTTGTTGAAAAGCTTTATTAGAAATATCATGGAAAATTCTAACATTTATCAAACCAATCAACCAAGATGTTTAATCAATAGGGTTTTTCAGCCAAAGATAAACATCCGGTGAAAGCTTAATGTGACTATTTTCAGTTTCATAAGGTTCCTTTCACAGCATCGATGTTGTAATGTAATAACACTTTCAGTTAAATAGACTTAAGCATTCATTCAGTTGTTCAAGAGTAACAAGATAAAAGACCGTGTACAGATAGCGCCGTCAAGATCAGCAGGCTGCAGAAACTTCATACCAGAAAATACTGGGGTAAACATGTTGGGGGAAATGTCATTTAAATCAGTGATTCTTGTCCGGTCTGAAACCCACATATCGAATATCTAACACGCAGTAAAGATCACTAATTTTCAAAGAAATCAGACCTTAAATGTGGCAATTTTATAACAGAAAGACACTGAAAGCCCTGGGGCTGCCTTACTAAAATTAAAAGTCAGTGTACATATACCCCATCAGCACAGCAGGCCTCTGATTTAATTTAATTGCACACAACAATTTAACTTACAGAGCTTTCATCATAAAATTAGCCCCAAAATGTTATCTTACTAATAAAGACAGATTATTTTGAGGTATAATGACATGTGACTCTTATGTAAGCAATATACTATTGTGAAATATTGATTTCCCTTTGTGGCCATATAAAATAACACAAATGTTCCAAACTAGGATTTACACTGCATAATTTATTTTCTAGGATTTTTTTTTTGGCATGTTTCTAGTCCAAATATCAAAAAATTACTCTTATATCAAGAAGCATTTTCTAGGTAAGCAAAACATATTGTCTTGTTTTGAGAAATAATATGCCAATATTAAGTGATTTTTTCCTTAAAACAAGCTAAATAATCTGCCGATGGGGTGAGCAAAATAATCTTGTTTCTCCTTTTGACATAAGATTTTTTTTTACCCCATTGGCAGACTATTTTGCTTGGGACTTGTTCTTTTTATAGAAGTTAGGGTTAATTACAAGTAAAGTTTGACAAAAAATTGGGTTTCTCTTGTTGATGTACATTAAGCTTTTTTCATGCTAAGCATTTTAGAATGTCCCCTCATCGATAATTGTAAAATCTTAAAGGCAACAGTGATATGCAAAATGTCTGTCTTCTTTCCTGTCTTTTAATAACTGCTAGTTCAAGAATAAGCAAAATAATGTTACCTTGTTGTTGTTGTTTATGAAAAAAACTTGATTGCCAACCTTTCTCTGTTTGAGTTTAACAAAAGTTAATCCCATAATTTGCTCAGGAGTCATGGGGTGTAGAAAACAGGCTGATCGAGTAGTTTCTTTTTGAAGTAAGTAGTTTCTTTTTTCAAGTAATTGTTTAGCATTAATCTCCTAGGACTTAGTGGCCACATACGTGGACAGTACATTTTAGCCCTTAAGTGGCTATTTAAAATACTTTGAATGTTTTATATTTTGTCACAGACAGTGTCATCCTGCAACTGTTTTGCAGCATATGAAATGTCCCAAACACTATTTTTAACTGTCCAAAATGGGGAAAAAATGTATATGTTATATATGCATTAAAAACATTCAGGAAAAAGTGTTTTTTGTAAATTCAGACCACGAGTCCACATATATGGACATCATTTTTATCTAAAAGTACACCATATCAAAAGATAATAATTATGTTCCTATATGCCAAAATAGCAAAGAGAAATAAAAAATGCATGTAAAAAAAACACCTTGGGCCTTGAAAGGTTTATTATTGGTATGTAATTGCATTTCTCATACTTTAAAAGGGCTTACTGAGCTTGCATATGAAGCATATACTTTAATGGCACTGCAATGGCAGATAACATATATAACAATATTATAAGAAATAACTTAAAAATGACATTGTTTTACTGTTTGGCATAAATATTTCAAGGACCCTTAGATACACATTTTTTTCTGTCAGTAATATTAAAAATGAAAAAAAAAAAAAATCATAATTTTGGCCAACGCATGCTTATCTACATCTAATTTTGGTGGCACAGTGGCCAGTTAGCATTTTTGTGTGGAGATTGCATGTTCTCTTGTTGGCGGGGGTTTCCTCCAGGTGCTCTGGTTTCTCCCACAGTCCAAAGACATGGGCTACAGGTGAATTTGATTACCATTGGCTGTAGTGTATGAGTGTGTGTGTGTGTGTGTGTGTGTGTGTGTGTGTGTGTGTGTGTGTGTGTGTGTGTGTGTGTGTGAATGTGAGTGTGTGGGGGTGTTTCCCTGATTTGTGGTTGGAAAGGCATCAGCTGCATGAAACATATTGCAGATTAGTTGTTGGTTCAATCTGCTGTGGTCACCTCTGATAAATCAGACTAAGCCCAAGGAAAATGAATGAATGAATATTTAGGTTTAAATGAATGCATCCATCTTGATAAAACCCATGTTATATAAAATTGTATATTTTATTTGTACTATATTGTTTATAATTATTACTGCACAGAATCAGTTTCAGAATGAACCGAAGTGAACAAGTGGACAATAAGGATGAATAATCTCACTGACCAATCACTCAAATTCATTCATTCATTTTCTTGTCGGCTTAGTCCCTTTATTAATCCGGGGTAGCCACAGCGGAATGAACCACCAACTTATCCAGCAAGTTTTTACGCAGTGGATGCCCTTCCAGCCGCAACCCATCTCTGGGAAACATCCACACACAAATTCACACACACACTCATACACTACAGACAATTAAGCCTACCCAATTCACCTGTACCGCATGTCTTTGGACTGTGGGGGAAACCGGAGCACTCGAAGGAAACCCACGCGAAGGCAGGGAGAACATGCAAACTCCACACAGAAACGCCAACTGAGCCGAGGTTCGAACCAGCGACCCAGTGACCTTCTTGCTGTGAGGCGACAGCACTACCTGGCGCCACTGCCTCGCTAAATCACTCAAATGTAAAAGTAAACTTTTCAAATCATCAAACCGCTGTCAAATCTGATTTTGAAATGTTAAACCCAAATATCCAGAATATGTCAGAATTTCCTCTTCAGTTTGTTTGCAATGTCTCCCTTAGATGTCTACTAGCTATAATCTAATACTGTCAAAGTAAATGGTTTGTTTAGCTCTCACTCTGTATAAAGCTTTTCAATGTATTTTTTTCTGTTGTGAACAAATACATATTGCATAATAATTGACAAAAACACATGTTGAATATGTTTGTTTAATGCACAAGTCATTTATATTACAATTGGAAAAAAAACTATTGGGAACAAAGTGCTTTGGTTACATTTCAAAAGTAATGTGTTCATTGCAGGCGGAGAAGGAAAGCAAACAAATGTGCTGTTTTATTTCGACAGATACTCTGGGCTCCACATCCATTAAGAGACTTTTACAGTTTCCTCTCAACAGCGGACTAAAAGGACAATCCCACTCTGTTTGGAATATTTTCCGGATGTTATTCCGGTATTGTGACAGACCCACAGTAATTTAACTGCGTGGCCAGAGTCTTGTCATGAAACTTGTCAGCATGTGCAACGGTCAGGTGGTCTTTTGTGCGTCCGTCCCCTCCCTTGGAGCGCCTCTCACGACAAAACCCTGCTTTGATATAAGCAAAGAGTTCACAGATCTGGTCCCTCACCTCTCGCTGCCAGCAGGCGTACACCAGGGGATTGACAAGAGAGTTTGTGGTTCCCAGCAACCACAGATGGTTCTCCAAAAAGTAATAAAGTTCACAGTCTGGACATGAGACCTGCACAATACTGACCACAAAAAATGGACACCAGAAGAGGGTGAAGCATCCAACCAGCACGGCTACAGTCCGCAGGGCTTTTACGTGACCCCAATAACGGCTAGACGTCAAAAACCGTGAACTTGCTTGCTGGGCACGGATGCGCTTCTGGTGGGTGCAGGCGATTTTTAGGATATCCATGTAGAAATAGATGAAGACTGAGAGCAGCGGGAAGAAAAACATGCAGAAGACCACAACAATGCTTTTGGGCTCGATGACGGAGAAGAACGTGCAGACCTTCTGATAGTTTTCCTGCTGCATCGGTTTCAAAATCCCAGGAGAAAATCCCACCAGTGATGAGAGAATCCAAGTGAAGACCAGAGCCCCTGTGATCATCTTCTTATTCATTAACTCCGAATAGCGGAGCGGCAGTTTTATAGCCATGTAGCGATCCACCGAAATCATGAACATTGTTAGGATGGAGGCTGCAGTCGGCGCCATGATGAAAGTCATTCGGAACAAACAAATGCCCTTCTCCATTGAGGCCGTTGTTCCTTGGAGAGCATCAGTGGCGATGCCTGTAATGGCCACACCGACTAGAATGTCTGCAATGGACAGGTTTAAAACGAAACACCAGCTCTGGTAGCCTCTTTTGCGGATGAGCATGATCAGGGAAATGGCAACTAGAAGGTTGGTGGAGATAATCAATATGGATCCCACACTAAGAATACAGCCAGTGGTCACTACTACTCTTTCAATAACAGCGGGAGTTGTGAGCTCTGGACTGGGTGATGTTACTCTGAAATTCTCCTTCATAGTTTGCAAGGAAGTCTCCTGAGTCAGGTTGAAAGCGATCATTGTTGCATTAATAGCTGACCCAAGAAGGTTTTAAGAAGAGAAAATAGACACAAGGATGTTGATGTTTCTTCATTCCCATTGGGGAAAGCACAACATCATCCTTTTTCTGCTGTTGTATTTTCGTTTATCTGACCCTTGTTCTGCCTGGCTGTCATCCAGGTCCCATCAGAGCATACTTCCTACTGTGAAGAGACTTTATCCATGTGAATTTGATTATGATGAAATTTCAACCTAACCTTATTGAAGTACAAAAACGGCTCTTGTGAAATCCTTATCGTTGGCTCTTCGTTAAGAAAGATCCTCAAATCACATCTCAATTTCCAGATGTTCAAGAGTGTTCCCTGCCTGAAACTGTAACCAGAAGTAGACAAACTCCTTTCCCCATTCTTCTCATTGTAGAAAAGCCCAATCGATTCAACAGAGAACACGACCCAACTGCAGAGAAGATGTCCAAAGATTCCAAACTTCCTTTCATCGTCTCTTGGGATGTGATTTTCCCGTTCTTAGGATGAAGACAAAGACCAGAACTTATTCAAAATGTGTACATTTTGTCTGCTGCATATCTGAGATGTCTTTCTACCAGCATGGGATCGGTCTTCAAACTAAAAGGGGGAAGAGAAACTGATGAACACGGACAGAGGGTTTGGTTTGGAGAGTGGGATGGGAGGTGGGTGGACACTAACAGCGTGACTGTGATTACTCATGAGTGAACTCTGAATAAACAGAATCACTCATGGGTGAATAAACATTTACCATATCCAAACCCATTCACACTTTATCATAGGAACCAGGGTCATAAGACAGATCGGGACATATAGGAATCAGTTAATTCCACAATAATGCGCTGACCTCTTTAAACTTTCCTCTGGAGTCATGTGAATAAGGCATTATTGTTTTGAACAATCTGAACACAGTCATTCATAACACGGAAAGATCTTTTTATGTCAATGCTACACAATAAAGCCTGGCTTTCAGCGGCTCAACAATGTGATGATGTTTTTCACCCCTACTAGACTGTTCACTGCTATTGAAAGCCTATTTTGGTCAGCAGTTGTTGCTACACTCTGGCCACAGAAAGCTTTTGGATGTGTTTTGGGCTAACTGTGCCCTGCCCTCACCTACAAATCACTGCCCATCTTTACCTTCAGCTGGCTTAAGAAGGAACGCCTTGGGCTTTTCAAAGGACCACTAAAGATCCTTAAGAGCAGTGGGCAGAAGATGTCTTTAAAGGGGAAACTGCTTTCCATGTTTTTGTGCTGTGCCTACTGTTTAACTTCACTCTTCTGCCTTCACCCAGACAGACACAACTGTGTCTCCAATGGTGCCAGGTGAGATTTTGATCATTTTGATATACTTACATGGGAATTTAGGGTATGGTGTATCAGAAATGATGAGTTTGTGTCTAACACACTATGCTACTCCTGAAACAGCTTACACCAGTATTATGTTTCAAATTTTTTTTGCCAGGAAATGAGATCACCTTGTTTGTGTAAAATTAGACAGAAGCGTCAATGAGGTCAGGATGTCTCATTGTACATTTACATGTCTATGATCTAGAAATGCTAGAAATATCTAGAAATTTTGCATGCCAGGCCAGTATAGGCATGTGATGATAACTGTTTTTAAGGTATATTGCGGATTGGAAAATTCAAGGTTTTGAAAACGGCAAGATTTTCTGCTATACCGTTCCGTGTTTATTATGTGTAATATTTTTTTTTCACATTTTTTAGGACAACAGTATCTCCAGCAGAAACGATATCCAAAGATGCTGTTTTAAATTGTAATGAAATCTGTGTTTTAGAAACTATTGAAGACAGCAATGAGTCATTTGAATTATGTAGACATGTTTACTGCTCCAAAATATTTGAAATGTTTCTCAAAATAAAATATATAGTGCTCAATGGGGAAAAAGTTTTAGTTTTTTACCCAGAATTATATAAAAATATTATATATATATATATATATATATATATATATATATATATATATATATATATATATATATATATATATATATATATATATATATATATATATTATTTTTTTTTTTTTTATTATTTATTTATTTTTTTTAGAGCAATGATCAAAATACAGTGAAACCGTGATATTTTTATCCAAGGTTATCATCCCATCAGAATCTTATACCGGCCCATGCCTAGAGTTGGCCATGTCAGCTCCGACATATAACATTATTGTCTTGGTTGCCAAGTATTCATGCATGCCTGTTCACTGAACATGTAATAACCATCGTTTCACTGTTTTTGCAGATTTACATTGTTGTTGTTTATGCAAAACTAAAAAAGTCATGTTTAAAAGTCTGCATTTTAAGTCTCCAAGATGCTTTTGTTGAGTAAATGAGAAACCTTTTTTGAATTTGTGTAACTATAGATATTCACATGAATCAACTATCAACTACAAAAAAAATCTACAGAAAAAAAATCATCCCAAAGCACTCAAAAAATGTGGAAAAATATTAAAAAGCCTTTATTGACATGGCTATGAGGTTACCTTGATGAAGGCAGTTGTTTGCTGAAATGTGTAGTTTTAAGGCATAGCCATGTCAATAAAGACTTTTTAATGTTTTTTCACAATTTTAAATGCCTTGGACTGATTTTTGCTGTTTATTCTGACGAGTCCCTTACCCAAAGAGCACTGACACATTATTTAAGCTACCCCTGAGCAGTTTTTGTTTTGGATTGTTACAAAACAATAAAATTTTAATGTTAAGGATTTAAAGACGTAGTGTGCACAAAAATTAAATAAAGATGTTTTAATAAATGGAGCAAAAATGTTTAAAATTTTGGATGGAAAGGCCTATATTCACAGGGACTTTTAGCTGCTTTTTCAGATGCTTCTGGTGAATGCCATTATTAAAATTAAGAACTGATTTATTTTAAAACAATAATCTTCACTGCCTGATTGAGATACAGTATGAAGTAGATATCACACCGGACAAGAAGCTTTGCATTAAATTGCATTGTTTTATGCCATGTCTAAAATATGCACATTTATTTTACCACAGTATTTTTAATAAAGTTTCTACTCTTGATTTCACTGGTTTAAATGGTCTTTCGTCTCACTTACAGTCAACTTTATCAAATGAAATGAGTGTAGTTAAATAAATAAAAATACTGAAAGTTAATTTACTTATTTGAAAAGAGTTTTAAACTCAGTGTTGAAGGTAATTATAATTAAATACCTCATTACTTCAACTTAAATGGAATAAGTTCACAGTACTTATATAGATTATTGTTTTTTTTTAACTGGTAACACTTTACAATAAGGTTCATTAGTTAATGCATTTACTAACATGAACTAATCGTGAACAACACATGTACAGCATTTATTAATCATAATTGAACATTTACTAATGCATTATTAACATCCAAGTCCATGCTTGTTAAAATTAGTTAATGTAATATGAGTTAACATAAACTAACAATGAACTACTGTATTTTCATTAACATTAACTAACATGAACAAATACAGTAGTAGATGTATTGTTCATTGTTTGTTCATGTTAGTAAAAGCATTAACTAACATTAACTACTGAACCTTATTGTAAAGTGTGACCTTTTAACTCAAATGGTTTGTTGCAATCGGTTACCTCAAATGGTTTGAGTTCTCATTTATTTGGTTTTACTGTGCTAAAATTGCTTCGTTTATTCAAACAGAGTAAGTTCACAGTACTTAGGGTTAGTTTTTTAACTAAAATGTTTTTTTTTTTGCTATTGGTTTCCTCGAATGGTTTGAGTTACCTTAACTTTTTGGGTTTTACACTGTAAATTAATTCTAAAGTCTAAATTTAACCAATTATAATTACATTTTCAATGATGTAAAAGGAAATAAAGGTGATAAAAGCCACATACACCTCTCACCGAAAGTCTATCGGTGGCTGAAAAACACTTGCCGTGCATATAGCCCATTGACATATGGTGTAGACTCTGGTAGTTATCTGTTGTTGTTTTTTTTTAGAAGAAAAAGTTATATAAGAGACTCAAGAGTGCGTAATGATAGATAAAATGTTGAAGAATTATATTTAAAAGGATCAATTATCCTCAGTGTCTTGGCTATGGGACTCATGGGACTTGCTCATGAGCCATAGAGGGTGTAAGAAAGTGTTGTTTATTCACTTCCCTACGGTGCCGAGAAATGAACCATTGAGTCACACGTACAACTTTTAAACCTTTAGGCCACAGCTGCTCCATAATATAATAAATCCCATGTATGACTGCCGAACTTTAACCAGCGTAGGGTAAAAATGTAGAGTTTCAAGCCTGTTACTCAAAAAAAAAAAAAAAGACCATACTTCCATACTTTCACATAACTTTTCTTTAAAAGTAACTAAGTAACACATTTAGTAATATAAAGTACCATTGTAATATATATTTTCAATACTGACTGTAACTCTTCTGTGTGTTGCAGGAATCTGTTATCAGTTGTTCAGCAGCTTTACCAGCGTGTGATGAGGCTCCTTCGCACCACTCTGTGACATCACAGTCTGTGACATCACAACACACACAGCAAACTAGAGGGAAGGTGAAACCACAATGACCGTTTATAGACTATTTATCATCAGATCAGCATTACTGATATAAACTGTGGACATCTGTGTGTGAGAATACAAAAAATTCTTAGCATCATTAAAGCTTTAACTCCTTTTACAGTTACTCTGTGTTCACGGTCTTTAAAGGTGCATTTAAATGCTGTAAGAGAGATTTACAATGGGAGGTTAATGACACTTTATGTGATCTCTTTGCAGGTTGAGGTGTTCATTGAATATGATGATGGTGTGTATTTGTGGAAGCACTGCAGTCCTGTTATTAATGGACAGATTTTACAACATGTGATAAGCCATTTATACACTGATGATGTTTATATTCATAAAGAGTAATGCGCAGATGCTGTGTTGAAAGAGGCAAGAGGGGATTTTTGGCTGAACAATGAGATGCTATTATAACTATCTATTGTAGTATTTAACATCCAAAATTAGGTATCGAGAAAACTGACTGGTAAGCTCAGAGGTTTCAATCAAACGGTAACAATTGCAAGGGTAGTTGAAATAAGTAATATATATAAATACTAGTGCTGTCAATCGATTAAAAAAACTAATTAATAGCACCTTTTTTTGAAAATGAATCGTGATTAATCACAAGTAATCGCATTTAAAAGCCTGAATTTTGTAATTTTTGCTATTCAAATGTAAAATTAATGTAAACGCAAGACTATTTAAATTCAAAATATAATTGTTTATTAGAATTTTTCTTTAACTTGTAACACAGATTTTTTTATGTAAACAACATATCCACAACAAACCATCAAGATCCTGGCTTGACAGCCATATTTATTGCAGAAATTAAAACACAGGCATGTTAATGCCATTTGAATTTGTATTCAATAATGAATTTCACAATCAATAGTGTTGCTTACACAAGCAAGGATGTTACAGATTTTTTCCGGAAAGCACCATTCACACATCCATTCCAAAATACTGGTAAATTCTGACATCATTAACCAGAAATTACCTCTAAACGGCTGCCATTGTATTTGTAAACATTTGACTACATTAAAAACTCTGTGGATGGATCAGTATTGTAAACAACTTAGATGAAAACGTATAGAGAAACACTTTCGCATGTCGAGATGTACATGATATGTGTGTGTGCTGGCGCTCATGGGCTGTTTCACGGGCACACGCAAAGCTTGAAGGTAAACAAACAACAGCTTATCATAAGCATCTTATCAATAATTATTTACACGGTTGGCAATAAGATGAACATATAAACGTTATCTGACTAATTTCTAGCAGCTAAATGTGTCTGGAAAAAATATTCAAAGGCTTTTATTCTCATAAACCGCGCAGACGTGAATGCGTCTGACTGTTCTGATTGGCTAAAGCAGACGTCTCACGTCAGCACGTTCTAGACGTACACGCGCTCTTTCCAGCAATCTTCTTTCTGCGTTTACACAGTGCAGCATTTCGGTAAATTACCGGTAATCTTACAACTTCTCTTTCCAGGAAAATAGCCAGAACGAATTTACCGGTATTTTCAAAAAGGGCCTGTTCACACATACACTTTTCCAGAAAATTGCCGTTAATTTTCCAGAAAGGTCTGTATGTGTGAAAGGGGCTATTGCCATAAAGAAAAAAAATATTTCCAAGTTGGATTCGAAGTGGACTGCAAAAAAAATAAAAAATGCCAAAATACAGGCGTTGCAGATATGGAAAATTATAATAACAATAAAATATTGAATACAAACAATTGCACTCATTGTAAAAGTGTATTGCTGTGAGTTGAGAACGTTAATTATAAAGTAGAAACAATTTTACTCAGTCCTCCTTTAAATTCAGACAGTTGCTAAAACAGTCCAGTCTTTTCTTTTGAATGATGTGAGCTGAGAGTGCAACGCAATCTCCTGGCAATTAGTAACTTTCTGATTTAGTGGCTACGTTTAGGCAGGTTTGTTGCTAAGAAACACGTGCACGCACACGCACACACTGCGCGCAGGACAGGGCAGGCGGATCGACTCCCTTCAGATTTAACACGCATGTTAGTTTTCATCAAACTTGCTTCTAAAGCAAGTATGGCTGTACTTTAAGCGTTCTAAAGTATGGCTGTACTTTACAAGGATTCTGACACAACAACGCGAAGCAGACACTTGCGTGTAAGGGGGAAACACGTCAAACTTAATGACACATTTGAGGGCTCATGCTGAAAGGCAGAGAAATGCGCTTTCTGACAGCTCGCGACATCATGTCACTTTCTGAGTACATTTACATAAGACACCAATACTCCGGATTTAATATGATTAAGATAACACTCTTATTAGGAATCTACGATGTAAGCAGCGATTTTTGATTATCTTAAAGGACCACCGAGTTACGAAATGCGGAGGTTTTTCTTTCCGTTCGCCATGCGGTATAAAATTCTATTAAAACAGAAGTCGAAAGTTAAAAATGAAACACCCGAAATAGCATAAAACTCTGGAGAAAACGCTGAAGAGCCTTGTGATGCGACATTAATTGTTTCATACTGAAACTTGCCTTCAAAAAGCGCTTCCTTGGTCTTCTTATACATATTTCTTTGCACGTTAAACACACATCGACCACAAGAGGAAATAAAAAAACTGCAACTGCGTAAATTTTTTTAGCGCGTTAAATACTTCAAATTAATCGCATGCGTTGGCGCAATAATTTTGACAGCACTAATAAATACATTCTATTTTATCGGAAATATGCAGATTTATACTGAGTGATACGTTCAGTGATGACTGAAATGTGTAAAGATGAAAATGGAATAAACTTACTAAATGTTGCTTACAACTTTGGGCGTCTGATTTTATTAGATTTTTGTTCCATTCTTTGTATTTTGCTTAATACATCTGAATTGAGTTGGCAGATGACATTTGTTACAAGGGAGACGCTGACAAAGGAAGTGCAGATTCAAATGCACGTTTAATAAACAGAGAATGGCCAGAAAGGTGGTAATGTTCACAATCAGGGGCAAACAGATTAATACAGGAATTCTAGAGTCGAATACCAGGCGAATGATCAATACAGGTAGGCAGCAGGCAACGCAAACAAACAAACAAAGGCTCGGTACACAGCAGACAAGGCAAGGAAACTGCATCATAATGTTAATTTAGAACCGTTTGTGTGTGTATGATGCGTGACTGGATCTTGTAGTCCATAAATGGCAGATTTGTAGTCCGTTGAGATCTGCTTAAATACCAGTGATTTGCACAGGCTGGCACGCTGATAATCATAACAAAATTTTTCATTCATTCTTTTTCCTTCGGCTTATTCCGTTTATCAGGGTTCACCACAGTGGAATGAACCGCCAACATATTCAGCATATATTTTACACAGCAGATGCCGTTCCAGCTGCAACCCAGTACTGGGAAACATCCATTTAACTCATACAAGGAGAACATGCAACTCCACACAGAAATGCCAACCAGCCCAGCCGAGATATAAACCAGCGGGCTTTCTGTGAGGCGACAGAGCTAACCACTGAGTCACCGTGTTGCCGGAGATTACATTTTTTTATTTTAATAATTTATCTCTGTCTAATTTGGTTTTTCAAAAAAGTTTGTGAACCTGAATAAAACATTAGATGGAAATTGCATAGTAAGGTTAGTGATTAAGCTGGGATTTACAAGCTATCCTGGCCCTATAACCTTGACACAGCTGCATGAAAGCAGGCTAAATTAAAACATATTATTGTTCATATGTGAGCCTGGATAACAAAATCATTTATCGTCTGATTAAATACGCTTTCCAGTGATAAATTTGAGATATGAAAAAGCCTACACAGCGGCCTCTCATGGATTTGCGAAAACAAAAACTGCAAAAATACGTACCTCCCGGGACGTATTTTGCTGTCTCCAAAAATGTCCACAGGACTATATTTTCAGATTGAGCCTGGGTTGCAAGCAACAAGCATTTAAACTTAAACACGCTCAAATCAGCTGATCAAAAATATAGGACCATAGACCAAAAAAAAAAAAAACACGACAATAGAACTAAAATTGTCAAAATGACCCAGTAGTATGTAACACCTCCGTTCAGGTTGATTACTTTAAACACTCATTTCGGCATACTTAATACAAGTGTTTCCAGGAGGCTGGTGGTAACCTTGCTCCATGTGGTTAAGATGGCTTCAAGAAGGTCACCAACGGCCTGGAACTAGCGCCTGTTTTTGTAACTTCCCTTGCCATCCATCCCCAAATGTTCTCAATGGGATTTAATCAGGAGAGCATGCAGAATGGTCATTGTAAATTGCAGCATTGTCCTGTTGAAAGATCCAGTCATTTTCTGCACAGACGAGGGTCCTCAGTCAAGAGGGTTGCCCGCTTCAATATGTATAAATAACCAGCAGTTGTTTGACAGGCCTGTTTAACCTGAAGCTCAATTTTCAAAATTTTATTAAAAAGCACCCCAGATCATGATGGAGCCTCCAAAACTGCTGTGTAGAAAACATCTCCTGTGGAATCTTGTTTTATCATGCCAGTAGCGTTGGAAACCATCAGGACCATCCTGGTAAAAAAAAAAAAATCCTCAGAGAATAAAATTTTCTTCCACTTTGCAATGCCCCATGTTTGGTGCTCCCTTGCAACTTCCGAGCAGGCAAGCTTGTTGTGTGGGAGAAGATGTGGCCTTTAAAAACATTTTTTGTTCTTTAAGCTCTTCTCTCAAAGATGTCTTCTCATGGTTATTGGGCTGCAGTCAGCATCAGTGAGGACCTTAATTTGGGTTGAGGATCTGCCTGTGTCTTCTAGGACAGCCCTTTGGATCCTCCGGCTCAGTGCAGGTGAAATTTTATTAGGTCTTCCATTTGACTTTTTTGTCCCATAATGCTCAGGATCTTTTAAGAAATTTAAAATGACGGTCTGACTACATCCAACTTTGACAGCAATGACGCACTGTGAGAGCCCTTGCTTGTGCAGCTCAACAATTCTGCCACGTTCAAAGAGAGAAAGCCTTTTTGCCTTTGCCATCTTGAGATCATGTGTGATACAGGCCAAAGGAAAATGACAGCAAAGACAGTTTTGCACAAAATTGAGCTATGCACACTGTAAAAAAATAAACGTTATTTTACAGGTAATTGTCTGTATTTTTTTACAAAATTTTAAATGTTTTCATTATACAGTGAAATACCTGTTATTTTACAGATATGTTCTGTAATAAAAAATTCTCACATTAAATTTAGTTATTGCTTGTAAACCCGGGGAGTGACACAAACAACTGAGGTAGGATCCAAATGCAGGTTTAATCAGTGGTCAGGCAAGCAATGATCAATACAGTTGCAAACAGCTATATGGAGACAGTCCAGAATCGTAATCAGTAAACAGGTGAGAGGTCAAAAGGCAGGCAGCAGACTAAGATGAAAAGGCTAACAAGGCAAGGGTCAAAACACAAGAAACAAGACAAGGAAACCGCGTTGTAGTGTTACTATAAAGATAACAAGACTCGGCAACGTGAATGAGTGTGTGTGCTGCTTAAATGGAGTGTGTAATCAGTCTTTGACAATCCTCAGGTGGTGTGAGTGTAATCAGTCTAAATGAGGAAGCAGGTGTGTGTGGGGGCGAAGATTTGTAGTTCTGCCAGAGAGAATGTTTTCCAGTGACCTCTGGTGGTTAGAGATCGCTGGTGATTGTGACACTTGTATTTTGGTATTATAATATTTTTCTACTTTTTAAAGGAAATTTGATGTATTTTTAGAGAGTAATATTTACAGATTATTCCTGTAAAAACAAGGAAAAAAAATCAGTCAAATAGTTTTTTGTGAAGATAAACATATGAAGAAATTAACATGAGGTTGATAAAGTAAAACAATAGCCTAATGTTTGTAGGCTGCATATAATGCATGCACTGTAAACTATTAAATGTTTATTTTACTACTCTAACAATGTTGCTATATGAACTGTGACGATCACCAGTGATCTAGCGGCTGTTGAAAAACAAAAAAACACACGTTACTTTAATGAACTATAACTCCCAGCATGCACCTCGCACACATGGGTTCCTAATTCTAACTGATTACACAGACAGTCAGAAGATCGTTATGGACTGATTTCAAGGACTATAAACACACACACAGGCACATCGTTTCTGAGTCTTAAACTAGTGAGCATTATGACGTGTTTCCCTTTGTCTTGCCACATTTGACCCCTTTACTTTGTTAATTTGTTTGCCATCTTTATGCTTGGGATTATCTGTGCACCTGTTTGTTCCTGTTTCAACCTTTAATTGCAAGATGATTCTGTTAATAAACTGCTATTTGATCCTCAACTTTGTTGTGCAGGCGTCCTCACATGACACTAACCTTGTTTTTGTTGCTAAACGATGACCAAATTTGTTTTTTGTAAAAAATTAAACAGATAACAGTTTTGTATTTTCTCAAGAAAATAGTTTTTAAGTTTAACCTACATATCCTTAAAATATTTGTTCAACTATATTATAATTTATAGTTATATTTACAGTGTTTTATGACAGTGTTTTTCTTCCAGTTTTAAAGGTATGTTAAAAGTGGAAATTTTTATGAAATATTTAGAGATTTCATCCATAATAACATAAATTAATCCCTATATTGCATTAATACCATGCATAATTACAGCAAATATCCTTATAATCACATTAATTAATCTGTATAATTACAGTAATAACCTTTTTAATCACATTAATTATCTGTATAATTACAATAATAACCTGGGGTTTGGGGTAGGTTTACGGTAATTTTCTGGCACCCCTGCTACAAAAAAAATTACTGTTTTTTATGTTTTTTACAGTGTAGTCCTAATTTTTTATTCAGCTGATTAGAGGCTGAGTTGAATTGCAAGTTTCATTTAATTGCCTATTCTCTGTTTTTTGCACTTGTGTTTTTATTTGGTATTTTAAAGAAGTACTTACAACCTCCAACAGTACAAAATGTGAACACTTGAAATGTTTCTCCCAGTCTTAAGATTTTGCTCAGGAGTGTATCTTCATTGAACATGATCTTAATATCCTAATTATTTTTGGCATAATAGAAAAATCAATAATTTTGATCAATACAATTTATTTTTGTCTATTGCCAATAGGTTTGATGAATACATACAATGGGTACGGAAAGTATTCAGACCCCGTAACATTTTTTACTCTGTTATATTGCAGCCATTTGCTAACATGAATTAATTTTTTTTTCCTCATTGAGAATGGCAGAGGATCCCCAAATCCAAGTGTGAAAAACTTGCACCTATCCCAAAAAGACTCAAGGCTGTATTAGATTAAAAGGCTGCTTCTACTAAATACTGAGCAAAGGGTCTGAATACTTAGTACATGTAATCTTTCAGTTTTACTTTTTTAAAAATCGCAAAAATGTCAACAATTGTGTGTTTGTCAATAAAAGGCGCTGTGTGTACATTAAGGAGAAAAAAAAACGTATGATTTTAGAAAATAGCTGCAATATAACTGAAAAATTAAAGAGGGTCTGAATACTTTCCGTACCCACTGTATATTATTGCAGTTGTTAGAACTATAAGAAATCGCAGATTAAGTTGCAAAGGTTATGTTTGTGAGAATATGGTAACATTATATAGGCTAAAGTCAAATTCAGGCATTTTCTTTTCATGATGGCGTGCCTTTTGTTAGGTGATGTAGATGAGGAAGTATTAATACTCAGATAAGCATTCCAGCATGAAAGAGTCTTTCAGGACAGGTCAGACCCGCTGGCTTTTGCTGACGAGTGTCTGGCTATCAAGTGATGGCATCTGATATTTGTGTAGGCTGCTAGGTTTAAAGATAAACCACGCTCTCACGGTACTACGCTCTGAAAAAAAAAAAAAAAAAAGTATTTGTTGGTTTGAATTGCATTATGGGATCTTGATGTTTCCTCCAAAAGCTTTTGATGATGAAAAGTGACTTTATGATATTTTCTGTGTTTGGGAAGGTGCAATGGCACAGTGGGTAGTGCTGTAGCCTTACAGCAAGGTTGCTGGTTCAAGCCTCGGGTAGGTCAGTTGGCATTTCTGTGTGAAATTTGCATGTTCTCCCTGTGTTGGTGTGGGTTTCCTCCGGGTGCCCCGGTTTCCTCTACAGTCCAAAGACAAGCGCTATAGGTGAATTGAGTAAACTAAATTGTCCATAGTTTATGTGTGTGAATGAGAGTGTATGGGTGTTTCCCAGTGATGGGTTGCAGCTGGAAGGGCATCCGCAGCATAAAACATGTGCTGGATAAGTTGGCGGTTGGACCCCTAATTAATAAAGGGGGTAAGTCGAAAAGAAAATGAATGAATGAATGAATGTGTTGTAAATTAAGGTACAAAACCTGGTAACAAACTGCCAGCACGTTTTCTGTTATTTTAATTCTCTCTATATTATTTCTTAAACAATATCTTGTCTCAAACTACTAAAAATGCCCATAAAAGTCACTTTGTTAATCTGCAGTGTTGAATTTTCTACATTAAAAATTGACAGAGCAGAGATAAAACTCCCATAATGCAATTCACAACCATTAATAAACAGAAAACACCAAGTGAACAACAAAATACGAAACATGTTGATTAACAGTTATTTTTTTACAGTGCATATGGTTTGAATATCGCTGCGATTCTTAGCAATGGCCCGTTCCTGTTCATAAAATAACAGAGTCGACCGAAGAATCGTCTCAGGTATGTGAGCTCACAAGGCGATTTTTAGCACTGCACTTGCTATGACAGAGCTTCAAAGAACCAAAAAATTGTGTATAATGTCAAAAAGTCAACATTAATATCCAACTAATTGATTACATAAGAATCAATAAATAGACCCTTGGATACTATATAAATAAAAGGTTGTAAACCAAAAGTCAAGTCTGCTGATCAAAAGTAATGATGTTATAAATAATGTTCATTTTCTTGCACAGAACAGTGGCTTTTCTTCATAAGACCTCAGTGTACATACAGTATATTGCCAGGAGTCTTGGGTATTCATTTGTTTTGCCTGTGTAAGATTTTTCGACTCTTAAAGCACATTATTTAGTTGTTTACTTTCTTATGAATTACCAAGAACAACATACACTTTTAAAAACGTTCTACTAAATAAAAGTGATGGCATGGTGGTTGGCACTGTCACCTCACAGCAAGAAGGTTTAAGTCTTGGCTGGGTCTGTTGGATATTTGTGTCTGATGTTCTGCCCATGTTGGAGTGGGTTTACTCCGGATGCTTCGTTTTCCCCCACAAGTCCAAAGCTTTAAGTGAATTGGGTAAACAAAATTGCCCATGGTGTATGAGCGTGTGTGAAAGAATGTGCATGGGTGTTTCCCAGTACTGGGTTGTAGGTGGAAGGGTATTCGCAGCATAAAACATTTGTCAGAATAGTTGGTGGTTCATTTCACTGCAGCGACCCCTGATAAATAAGGAAAATGAATGAATAAAAAGCCACCTACATCTAAGCCGCCTATCTGCAGGTTTCATTAAGTCAAATATAAGACTTTTTAAGACCCCTTTAAGACCATAAAGAATGAAATTTTAGACTTATACAGAGTTAATAGTTAAAGTCTAGGGTTTTTTTTCCCTAATGGCCCAGTGTTATCATGAGGAATTCGGTAATTGTTTTTAGTTTCTTTTTTCCCTTATTAGGGAATTTCATTAGGGGATTTTGCAGTAAAAATGTCTAACAGCCATTGTGAACTGTATGTATTTGCAACAAAGAATTTTAAAATAAGGTTTCATTAATAAAAAATAGGGTTTCGTTGGGATGTATTGTTGGTCATTGGATGAATGTCGGCCCGACTGAGTATAGCTTCACTTGTGCAAAGCAAAATTAAGACCTGTTTAAAATGATTTAAGACCTACAAAACAATATTTCTGTGAATTTAAGACTTTTTTAAGGCCTTAAATTTTGTTTTGAAAATTTAGAACATTTAAGGACCCTTGAATGTGAGTAAATTAATATTAAATTAAAATTAAATTTAATATTAAATTAGAACTGTTCCTTTAACTACATACATTAATACACATAACAAAAATAGCTGACAACTGTTATTATACGAAGCTCCACGCACAATTCACATCTTAGCTGTTTTCTTCAAAATTAAATCGCTTAAATCAAACAAACCTCACTGATTCCTCCCTCTTTTATGGACAGGGTGACATTGAAAAAAGGGGTGTCTAGTTTTTTCAAACTTCCGGGCGGGAACTTCCGGTCGCAGTGAATTGAGTTCCTGCTAGAAAGGCACATGATGGGAAACTGAAAGCCGTTTGTGCGCTCCTGTCGGAGTTTGACTGCGAAAAGTACAACAATCCTACATGTGGTCGAGACGATGGAGTCCAAAATAAAATAACAGAGTCGACCGAACCACCGGGTCTCAGGTATGTGATCTCAACAGGTGATTTTGACTAAAATATCGCCAAACTCAGTTTAGTACTTTATAATGGTGCGAGTAGTTCTGCTCCACCTGGCTAACACTTACAAGCCGTTAGATGTCCGTTATGAAACCAAGCAGAGCGACCTTCACACTTCGCTTACCGTAAATATAGACCATCTTAGTTACACTAATGCATTAGTTTGCAATGCGTGGCTGTTTTTAATATAAAGCTATGACCTTAAAAAGTTCAGCGTTGCACGGTTTCGAGAAAATAGGCGAGCGCTTGCTTGCTGTCACTCAACCTCATTGGCTTCGGAAGTAGGTGAAACAACACGTCATTTCGACCAATCAGGATCACCGAGAAAAATATTGACAGACGCCGCAGCCAATAGGATTTCCGTAATTTTCCTATGGCGCTTGCAATGAATCTTTAATGCGGCTCGTCTTATTCCGGTGCACATATGTCTTTGCATCTGGGGAGACGGGTTGTGACACAGACGGGTAGCGCTATGTTGTACAATGTGAGGTTAAAAGAGCTGGTTTGCTCTTATTTTGGCTTTCTGCTGTTTTTAGTGGGACTCCATCAAGCCGAAGGGGCCGCGACAGAAATGGCAAACCTGAACTGGAAGCCGTTTGTCTATGGGGGAATGGCCTCAATTGTCGCAGAATTTGGTGAGTCTGTGCACCTGCTGTTTTTACATCATCCTCCTTATAATCTATTGTTAATCACTTCTTTAGGTTTGCACGGCATATTTTCGTAATATTTGTTAATATATAAAACAAAAGTGTCAGTGCAAATTAGTATTTGAGATAAATATATATGTTATATTTAATGTTTTTATTTTGTTTTCACTATTAACTGCTTGTTTACATGTGCAATAATAACTGATAACAAGGTAATAATAATAATAACAACAAGGTTTATTTATACTGTTTGGCACAATTTTATGGAAAATTATAAATGATCAACAATAACAAATATATTCAATGTAATTATTACTTAATTACACCATTATTACTTCTGTCTATTACAACTATTAGTTGCTTTGCTGAAATATACTGTCAGATAGGTTCATACGAGTATTAATTTTAGTATCTCTTTAGTTGGAAGAACTGTAAAACCATTCGTTAGTGCATGAATAATGTTCATCGGCCGAACATGAAAAACAACATTCCCCAAACCAGTGATTGAGCTATTTATAAAGCTAGTGTTTAAAATAGGGTGGAACATAAGATGAGGCAATGTACACACTGAAGTTTATCCTATAATTAAATCTTTCAGGTACGTTCCCCATTGATCTCACAAAAACGCGGCTTCAGGTTCAAGGGCAGACGCACTGTATGGAGGTTCGATACCGTGGGATGTTCCATGCTTTGTTAAGGATTGGACGAGAGGAAGGCGTCCGGGCATTGTACTCCGGGTGAGTGCTGCTTATTTGATTATTCTGAATGGCAACAAATGCTTGGCTTGCACAGTGGATGGTGTTTATTTCACTGTCAGTGGTGTTCAGTATGCCACTCGGGACTTTCGCACAGGGAACTCATTTTTAGGTAATAGCCTTCATGAGAACTACAATTTCCCCTCAGGCAATTTTCCTGGATGTTTGCTTTGTTTCTAGGTATTCCGAAGTGACTTATGCAGGCTATCTTAGCTCAACTGTTTTTGTTGTTTTGTGTTTCGTGATAATATAGATTCAGTGTAGATATTAAGGTTATGATAGAAATGTATCTATTATGTTATTAAAAAAAGAAAATACAATCTCACAGCGACATTAACATTTGCTTGTAACACTTTAATATACTGTGCCAGAGTTAGACCCTCCTCTGATTTAATACCCTTAAAAGGGGTTTCTATAACTAAAATCACTTTCAGCAGAGTGAACAGGTTAAAAACAGGTGTTTTTCTTCCTATAGTTTAATCGAACTGTGAAAAAGAGTGTATGTGTACTTTCTGATGTTTTCTTTCCCTTTTAAAGGCATATTTGCATCCCCTACCATGGTTTAACATTTTAAATACAGCTGATAGCTGTAATAAACTCTAAATATAGATGATATTCAGTTCACGAGGTCTGTAGAGGAGCTGAGTCAAGTGAAACTGGCCCACTGCTTTGGCATGAGCAGACTGTAGTCATTCGCACTGGTCTTGTTTTCTATGTCCCAGAGCATCTTGTTTTTCAAAACATCATCTCCCAGATTAATGTGCTGTTTCTTTTCCTGGCCAGAGGTTTATGGTTCATATGTTGCTGTAATTTCCCACTATGTTTTGACCATTTTATGGTAGTTTATGAATAATAATGTTACTTTTATAATGTTATAATGTTACTGTTAATTTATTTTTGCATCTTTTGCAGTAAATTAGAAGAATTTGTTTTAATAGATTTAAATGGACCTAATTTATTTCATGCATTTTATTTAGGGAATATTTTTTTATGTACTGTATTTAGATTAGGATTAAAGTAAAACAAATAAGAGCACCTTATGCTCAATGAAAGAAATTAACGTGTATCATTACTGGGCCTTACTGGGTCAACGTTTTTTAAAGTTTTAAAAATAACTATATGCTGACAAGTATTTTCAATTCTTTTCTTGATCATCTTTCTGCCATGAATTGTTTTTTAAGGTTGGGTACTTTTAAGGCTTGTCACAGTAGCACCAGTCTTTTGACAGCATTATTCATATAAAACAGCATTATGATCATGTTTACTTAAGGCACAATGACATCTTTCAACAAGTTTCTTTGCAATCTTTCTATTCCCGTGTTTATACAACAATCTGAAATCTATTTGAATCAGACGTGTCAGTTCTTTTACTGTTTCGGTTTTCCAGTTTGTCAGCAGACTTAAGTGAACAGATTAAACTATTTAAATGACGACAAGGACATCCTTCTAATCACACAATAGGACTTTTGCAAGCAGCAGGAACAAGTGTACTGCATAGAAATGTCCTGTTGGTGCATTATTTTTGCAAACTTTGCATTTCTGGTGACCTAATGTGGCTCATGCATAGTTGCGTATGCAGGTACATGCTATTTTGATCTTTGAGGTCAGTCTGCGTTAGTGTTGTATGATTTACTGATACTAAAAACGTGATACCCTGGCTCTCAAAATGATATGATTCTGCATTTGTTTTTTTACCAGTACTTTTGAGTGACATAAAGATGTCTTTTTAAGAAGTACACTTTTTTTTTTTTTTTTTTAAATATATTTATTTATTTATTTTTTTGCTATTTTAAATTTTTTGTAGGACATCACGGACAGTTAAAAATGCATGTCATGTCATCCACCCATACATTAATATATCTATAAGTAGAGCATCTCATAGCGCAAAGCATAACTAAACCTTTAAATGTCCATGCTTAATCAGTAATCGATAAGGTCTATCAATTAAAGGGTTATTGACAATTAATCATCAAGTAATTGTTAGCATCCCTAAATAAAATAAAGGATACTCATTAAAAGGGGAGTTCATCCAAAACTGAACATTCTGTCACCATTAACTCGCATTTTACTTGTTCCAAACTTTTTTTTCTGATGTTGAATAACAACATCCCATAACTTGTAGGTAATGTCTTTGGTTGTTGAAAACTTGAACAGTAAATGCTGAATTAAGATTGTTCTTTTGTTTATTATTTTATCATTTTTATTGTCAGACAGCTAAAACATTTCACAAAATGTGTTAAATCAGCTGCACAAAGCGATTGGCATGCTGAAAATCCTATAAAATTGATAAATAAATGTTTGTCATTTATCATAATATTTATCTATACTAAATGATACAAAAAAATATCTTGATAAATTTTTTTGCCATATCGCCCAGCTCTATAAAAAAATAATTATAACATAAATAATAATGCTGACTATCAGTCAATTTAGTTTTAAAATGGTTCTACTTTTTTTCAGCTGACAGCAAACATGGAGTGTTCATTAACAGATAATATTTTTTTAAAAATGCTAGTATCGTTTTAGTATTAGTATCCGTATATTTAATTTAGGTATCATATCGAAGTTAACATTTTGGTATTGTAACAACACTAGTCCATGTGCAAGTTAGTTAATGATGCACTCCTCCCTTGTGCTTTGTTTGATGCAGCAACGATTTCTCTTGCACAGCACAAGCCATTGAAATAAACAAGTGTCATAGTGCAGCGCTTTCCGAGCCCAGTGTGGAAGCCTCTTTACAACATGCAGTAATGATGGCTTGAGGAAGAGTAAAACCAGCACACTGAACACTGCTGGCCAGTGCAATGCAGAATAACCTTTTTTTTTTTTAACTTGTGTTTCACCCCAAAATTTTCATTTTAGTCAACTTTCATATATTCCTATTTTTAATGATCTAAAAATCTAGATTTAGGCAGCTTCAAAGTAATCCAGAGAGTCTAGGGTCTTTTCTAGAGAAATTATCTGTAGTAGTTTGTAAGTAACAGTTAATGCTTAGTTTGTTTCAGTTCAGGTGATCTGTGTTCATGACCTTTATTTTACAACCTCTCATGAGACCACATGGGTCACTCGTGATAGATTGTTTACAATTCAGGAAAATGAGCACAGTCCAGAAGCTGAATGATTCTTCATTGATATTAATATTTGCTAACTGTTTTAAATGTTTTTAAATGCAGGTCAGGACTGTTTTTTCAGAACAATATGCTGCTGCTTAAAAAGGACAAGTTGTGTTGTATTAAATGTTTGGTTGTGGGTGTGTCTAAATTAGCATGTCAGTCAATATGATGTAATTTAATTTTAAATAGTGTTAACATCTTTATTGTAATTAACCTTGGAGAAGTCTTAAGTACATGAAATACATTTAAAATAAAATCTGCATAATGTTTATGTTTTATCACCACTTGAATGTAAAGAGACGCACACATGCGTTCTGACATTCACTTTATCTGATCGTCTAATATTTCATTCTCAGAAGTCTGGTACATTTTTTTTTCTTATGTTTATCTTAAGCAGACGTGTCAAACTTCTTTCCTGGTGGGCCACAACCCTGCAGAGTTTAGTTCCAACCTTGCTTTAAAACACTTGCCTCTTGCTTGTAGGTTTCAAAAAAAGCCTGAAGCTTGTTACTATGGGATAGATAAAAATATATGTATAACGTGATAATTTTTTATTATTGATAATTATGTGATAATTATTATTATTGATAATTTAAAAATCTGTTACGCTAACATTACATAGTTTTAGCATTTGCTTTTGCATTTTTAGGCTAATCATTTCAGGCTTGCCTTCAATAGGATTTGCCTGAAGGACTCCATTAGTTTGGTCAGGTGTGTTTAATCAAAGGGAAAGCTAAACTGTGCAGGGTTTGGCACCCATGCTGCTCTAAAAAAATAAAGAACAATTTAGCAGGAAATCTATTTAAAGTTTTAAAAGAAAAGTAAAAAGCACTCTATTTCTGTTTGAACTCATTTGCAGAAAACTTTGCATACATGTTTTGCATGATATTGTTATTGACTTTCCTTTTACATCTTGTGAACTTTAGACAAAAAGCATGATATCTCATATCCTTTTTGTTTATTTTTTATTTTTTTGAAAACTCAAAACAATACTGGCCAAATACGTTTCTCTGGAACTTTTTCATTGTTAATCTCCATATAATGATGGTTAGTCATTAGTTCATCGTGTGATGTATTTAGGCCGGTCTTTTAAACCCAACTTTTTAGCCAATTATCTATGTATGGAAGATATGCATTGTCCTAAAGTGGTGTCTTTCCTCTTTGTAGAATTTCACCTGCCCTTCTCCGACAAGCTTCTTATGGCACGATCAAGATCGGTACATACAACACACTAAAGAAACTGTTTGTCAGCCATCCAGAAGGTAAGCTTACAGAAAACTAAAAACACGCTTAGAGCAGCTCCTCGAATCAAATATCTCGTTTGTCACGAGGGGGATGAATAAATTCCCTAATGAAAGTGCCAAACTGCAGTTAAAGTTCACAATTTAATAATTTGGCAGATAATTCGATTACAGATGTCCATGTAAACACAGTCACTTTCTCCCCTGTGTGTGTGTGTGTGTGTGTGTGTGTTTTGACTCTGAAACTCAGCGCGTGGTCAAATCGACACTCCCACAACCTCCCTCTTTTGCTCCTCCGACACTCCCCCCTAAACAGAGCTGGACACGCCCACTTTTCTGGCTTTTTCCAAAGTAGAGGTGTGAAAACACCCTGCTGAAACGAGGGGGTTTCATGGCCCTTTAAGGCCCCGTTTACACTATTGCGTTTTAGTTTTAAAACAGCGTTTTAGAATGAAAACGATCCACGTCCACACTCGCGTTTTACCCAGCGTTTCTGAACAGCTCTCCGTCCACACCAAAACGCTGAAAACGCACATCACGTGACCACACACACACTCTTTGGCAAGCGCTGCAGCATTTCTACCCAGATGAGAGCTCTGCTAGTCGGACTTGTCATCAAGCATCTCCCGCTGGATCTAATCTCACTATATTTATTAAACGGGATATTTCATTCATCTTGTTGTCTTTAACAACATGTTCCCTGACTTTGGTCATTGGAATCTATTACTTGTTCTCAGGTAACGTGTTTTGGCTGAGTGCAAAGATAAGTTAATGATTAATGTAACCACGTACATTCTGTATATTGACTGATCGCTTGCCTTTATTTCCTATAATGTATAAACTTATTGTATGTTATACTTTTATAATGGCCATTATCAATTATTAAAACTGATATTCAGCAAAAGAGAGGGTATGTTTCGTATTTTCACTGAAATTGAAAGGAGGCAGTTGTTTATCGGCTCCGTTTTGTTATAAATATCCACACAGTGAAGATGACGCTCATATATGCAGCACGACACCTCAACATTTCTGCTGTCTGTTTAGTTGTTAATATTAAAATGAAAATAGGCAGTTATGTCACGTGTACATTTTATTGTTGAGAAAGTGAAACAACGTAGCCAGGGTGATGTGAATGAAGTTATAAAGTACATTGACTGTTCCCTTTGAAGATTTACCCGTGTCCTCGGTATAGTCTGTTTTCCATATCAAACTGAAAAGAAGAGACTGCAGCCTTGATACTGAACTTACACGGAGAAGATACAGGACTACTTAATATTGAGGAAAAGCCCCAATCAGAGAGGCGAATGTCTGCAGCCCCGCCTTCGTTTTCAGATGTCTCCGTTTTCCATCATCCACACTGAGACGGAGCAGCAGCGTTTCAGAATGAAAACGGCCTCTCCAGCGTTTTCAAAACGCTCCGTTTTTGGCGCTCGAGAACTCCGGCGTAGTGTGGACGGATGGCGTAACCGTAGCAAAACTTATGCGCTTTCAAACTAAAACGCATTAGAGTAAACGGGGCCTAAGATCTTTTATTTTTTAACACATTTCTCTACTGTATAGGGCCTATTAAAATATAGCCCCCTCTGCTTTTTCTGAGTGATTTGGACTCTATTTTAATGGATAATTACGTTTCAAAATTCAAATTCATTGAAATTATGAAACTTGAACGATATAACAAAATCGAATTAAAAGATTAATAATAAATGCATTTTACGGCCCTGTGAAATTTTATTTATTCTAAGATTTCTGTTATTTCCCATAAAAGTTGTTTTTTGCTATAATTATTTAGCTTTCCATTTTAATGATCTACTTTAATAATCAAATAAAATGACCTAACAAGAAAACGTCATTCATTATTACCATTTAATGTAAGTATTGTTCCGTTGTTATTAAGGGCATGTTATATAAAGGTCTCACGTTGATTTGAAGTGTTCAGTATCAACTGACTAATTTTAGTTGCAGCTTTTACATCTTTATATATATCTTTATTTATACTGATGGCGTTGTTCTGAAACACACTAGTCTATAGATAACATTTGTGAAATAAAAAAATATGTTTATTTTGCTAGTTATTGTTATTAAGTTGTTAAGTTGTAGGATTAATCAGTGCAAGTTAATCCACTTTAAAAACAATAGTCTGTTTTGGTAATCTTCAGTGAAAGTCTGACCATTTGCTTTATCGTTTGGAGTGGTGCTGCTTCTGTTGACGTCAATCTAAGGGCTTCCATAGCAACTGCATATTAAGAACCTCTCCTACGTTTTGCTACGAGGGGTCTCAATTTTCCATTTCAGCAGGAAGTACATTAGCATACTGAAATAAGTCTCATCCTCTTCTGATTCATGCGGACTTTAACATATTAGTAATAAAATTTCAAATTGTTTTTTTTTTTATTTCACAATTATTATAGTCACTTGAGATGCTGCTGATATTAGCCTTCTTATGCTGCTATTCTTTACTAGAGGTCAGACGATATGGGTTATTTTCTTCCCAATTCCGATATTAACATATTTCTTTATTCACCTTTTATCTAAAAATATTCAACTGGGCAATAATTAGATACGAAAAAGATAATTTCATGTATTAAACATTTATCGAAATGTTTCAAGTAAAAAGAGCAGAAGTTAAAAAACTATTTAAATTACATTTGATTCGATAGTGGATTTTAATAAAAAGAAAAATTGTAAAATGTGTGCATGCTAGTAGGGCTGTGCAATTAATCGAAAATCCGGTTGCGATTTCGATTACGGCTTCTATTGATTATGAAAAACCATTAATCGAGATAAACAATAATTCCATCATATACCGCCTCCTTTCCAGTTCCACGTGAAAGTGACTGAAATATGTGCTGTAATGTAACTTTTGCAGCATGGGATGCGCATCATTCATATTTTTTAAAGCGCGAAAGAGCACGTGCTGCTGTGTGCGTGCGCGCTGCACTTAGCCTCGGACAGGTATTGTGTGTGTGTCTGTCTGCGCGCGGTCTGCGCTTAGCCTCGGACAGCAGAGCACACACACATCTAACGCCATCTTAATGCGAGCGCTTTAATGGTCAAATACATGCACTGTTTAGTGATTATTCATATTAATCCTCATTTGTGTAATAAACAAGTTGAGAATCAAAAGACACATGAAAGAGAAACCATTTCGGAGCCGCACTATTCTTAAAGTGACAGCGTGCGATATACCTGCTGCTGTTTTTATTATTAATCAAACAAAAGGACAGAATCCACTCACTGCTCTTGACTGAAGGACTTTTGTAGTTAAAGTTTTTTCTTACAGTGAAGATGCTTAAAACACAGTTTAAACATAACAGTTTTAATAACTCATTTCTAATAACTGATTTGCTATGATGACAGCACATAATATTTTACTAGATATTATTCAATATACTAGTATTCAGCTTAAAGTGACATTTAAAGGCTTAACTAGAGTAAATAGGCAAGTCATTATGTAACAGTAGTTTCTTCTGCAGACAATCAAAAAAATAAATTGCTTAAGGGGGCTAATAATATTGAGCTATTAAAATAGGTTTCACAATATTTAAACCTGATTTTTTTTCTAGCTGAAATAAAACAAATAAGCCTTTCTCCAGAAGAAAAAAATATTATAGGAAATACTGTTAAAAAAATTGCTCTGTTAAACATAATTTGGGAAATATTTGTATATAAAAAATAAATTCACAGAAGGGCGAATAATTTTGACTTTAACTGATAGTCGTGATTACAATTATGACCAAAATAATCGTGATTATGATTTTTCCCATAATCGAGCAGCCCTACATACTAGGTTTGGGTCGATAGATGATGCCATCATCCAGCAGCAGCAGCAATCTGCCTAATCTCTGCCCAATCATGCTAGAGTCTTGCAGAAAAAGTGATTGACAGGTGGTAATTTGTGTGTATCTTATCTATTTATTTATGATTTGGTCATGGGTAAAACAAAGACCATGCGGGTCAGGTAGTTGAAACAGTATACTACAAATAATTAATTCGTTATGAATTAATTCATTATTCATAAATAATTCACTGCCTCCTTTACGACAACGATGTCATCACCCATCGTGATGTCCACATTAGACATTGTTTGATGCCAGATTGGTCGACATCGCCCAACCGGAAATTCTTACCTATATATAGTTTACCTTAATTTAATTTTTAATGGAAGAAAGATTTTTTTTATTATTGATGAATATTTTTTGTTATTAAATGTAACCAAGACCATATTTTACTGCAGATTAACTTGCACAAGTTGTTCACAACAAGAATTGGAATGTGGCTTAGCAGAGTTCTATTAATATGGCCAATTTAAAGAGATCAGAGGGTAATTTAACCATATTAACAATGAAGTTTAATTCAAGCCTTCTGAACATAAATGTATGAACTCTTATACATGATGGAAAGATTTAAGCTTTTAACCTCATATGAACACTGAGGATGCACAAACATAAGTTGCATCTCAATTCTAAGGCTTCGTCCTTTGTAGGGCTCATTCAAAGGGTGATTGCGTCATTGTGGTGAAACATAGTCTAGAATTAAACACTTCAAATGCAGCCTCAAACTGCTTTCTTCATTTCTCATATAATGAAATGTACAACTACGGCAAGATTCGGCACTGATGACCGCAGTGTTTTTTTTTTTTCTTTTAGTTTTTGGCAAATTGTTTTTATTTCACAGGGCAATTGAATGACAGGAAGTGAAGTGGGAGAGGGGGGATTAGATCAGAAACCATACATGAGCCGGGAATCGAGATCTGGGCTATGTATTGGCACACTAACTACTGGGCTATCCAATTTTTTTTTAAAAGGAATGCGCATTAGACTTCTCTTGCGATTAATTGCTGATGCTTTTATCTCAATATACGGTATTATTATGGTATTGACCTAGGAAAATTACTTTAAAATAACCAAAAATGACTTGGTGTATTGGTTTATTGTGTCATGTTCAGAGTAAGTAAATGTTTTAAACAAGTTAAATAAAAAAAAAGATGATAGTGTACAATAGGTAATACTTTATTGTAGGGCTGCTCGATTATTGGAAAAATCATAATCACAATTATTTTGGTCATAATTGTATTCACGATTATTCAAAACGATTATCAGTTGAAGTAAAAAATATTCGTCCTCCAGTGAATTTATTTTTATTTATAAATATTTCCCAAATGATGTTTAACAGAGGGATTTTTTTTACAGTATTTCCTATAATTTTTTTTTTTTCTGGAGAAAGGCTTATTTGTTTCGTTTCGGCTAGAATAAAAGCAGTTTGAATATTTTGAAATTTATTTTAATAGCTCTATATTATTAGCCCCTCTAAGCAATACATATGTTTGATTGTCTGCAGAAGAAACTACTGATATACAATGACTTGTCTATTTACCCTTATTAAGCCTTTGAATGTCACTTTAAGCTGAATACTAGTATCTTGAAAAACATCTAATAAAATATAATGTACTGTCATCATAGCAAAGATAAAAGAAATCAGTTATTAGAAATGAGTTATTAAATCTATTATGTTTAAACTGTGCTTTAAGCATCTTCACTGAGTTTTTAATTTTATTATTGATTAATAATAAAAACAGTCGGCAGCAGCAGGAATATCACACGCTGTCACTTTAAGAATAGTGCGGCTCTGATATGGTTTCTCTTTCAAGTGTCTTTTGATTCTCAACTTGTGTTTATTGCACAAATGAGAATTAATATGAATAATCACTAAACACCGCGCTCTGACACAAATGTGCATGTATTTGACCATTAAAGCGCTCACATTAAGACTGTGTTAGATGTGTGTGTGCTTTGCTGTCCGAGGCTAAGCGCGGCGCGCACCCGCAAACACACACACGCGCTACCTGTCTGAGGCCAAACAAGGCGCGCACACACACAACAGCACATGCTCTTTTGCGCATTTTTCTTTTGCGAGTTTTCACACGTGTACAACTGGAAAGGGGGCGGTACGTGATGGAATAATCGTTTATCTCGATTAATGGTTTTTCATAATCGTTAAAAGCCAAAATCGAAATCGGATTTTCGATTAATTGCACAGCCCTACTTTATTGCAGATTGTAATTGGTATATTATTAAATGCATTATAATAAACAACATGTAATGTAAAACTACATGTAATGCTTTGACATGCAAAAAAAAACTTTCAAGTTAAAACAAGTTTTCTTCCTAACCATCGGTGACATACAAAACAGATTTCGTATGCTGCTTAGTTGTGGCAGAACAACAACATCTTATTGTCTTATTGCGACGCATGTGGTCAGGACATGGTGATTGAAATAGCTGTATTATGGTTATGTTAAAGTGGATTTACTCAGATAAATCTTATTTTTAAGTAAATTTTACACAGACCTACCAGCTACCTATGATGTTAACTCAATGACAAATGTTGTGAGAGCAGTATTACAAGTCGAGATTGCATTTATGTAATACAAGCATGCGAATCTCTTTGCTTGCATGTCGATTTCCTCTGTTGGTGCACAAAACTTCTTCCATGCCCCCTTCTTGCTGCTCAAGTCGAGATGTTCTTGTTTGCTCTTAAATCAATGCTGCTGAAGTGTGATCTTGTGCGTTTATGTAACGAGTATGTCTCCAACATTTGTTTGATTTGCTAGCAATATTTATGAATGTCTCCAACAGACCCACTGAGTGGCATTATTGTGTCCTGAAGTAAAGTGAAATGGCTATAAACTCCAGCAAGATAAGAGTCATTGTATGCAGAACCATAGACCTTTATCTATAAATAAAATATAATTATGGAAACTGTGGTCATCTTAACTGAAAGCTATGTCATGTTTGCTAGCCTCACACAGTCTGTCAGACTGTCAGTCAGCATGTCACCTTAAAGGGTTAAACAAATAACGCACAGCACTACGATTACAGAAAAGTTCGCAATGTTATAATTTACTTACCTTTTAATACGTTTTGGTGTGATTTATAATAACCCGCTGTTAAAAAAATGGACAATGTTTCAAATGAGAAGCTGTAATGTAGCCATGGCGGGATGAATTTTGGTGTGGCGCCCCGCCATGGAAGAATGATTGCAGCGGAAACTATGAAATCAATCTGTACATTTTTCAAAGACACTCCAAAAGTTTACATTTTGAATGCCCACAATATTAATAATGTACAAGTTTAAGTTTGTTTTCCTGATCTGTTATCAGGAATATCAGCATCTGTCTAATATGTATTGTTTGAAAACTGAAATCCAATTTTACCTTTTGCTCCACTGTTGCAACCATTATGCTGCATCCTCGGCTTTCCTAATACTGCAAAACATGGTGTAACCACCATCACTAATGTGCGGTCCAAACAAAAGGTGCTGAAGCGGCAGACAGATGGACATATCTCTAGCATTACCTTATCTGGTGCTGGCGCCAGCGCATTTCCATCTGACATGGTACAGAATCATCTCTTCTCTGCAAACAGAATTTGTATTACTTGAATCCTTGCCATAAGCACTCAACGAGAGGTCACAGCTTGGCCAACAGTGTTTTTTTTGGTGTTTAACAGGCTGAATGAATCTGATTCTTTAATGTGCTGAAGAACATTCTGAATCTAATGGCTGTTATTGTTTCTCTCTCTCTCTCTCTCTCTCTCTCTCTCTCACTCTCACTATTTTTTAGAAGAGACGATGGTGATTAATGTGTTTTGTGGTGTGGTGTCAGGAGTTTTGTCTTCCTCTTTGGCAAATCCAACTGATGTGCTGAAGGTAAGTGTCATATGCCCCTTTCACACATACAGACCTTTCGGAAAGGTGTGTATGTGTGAACAAGGCCTTTTTAAAAATACCGGTAAATTCGTTCTGGCTATTTTCCGGAAAGAGAAGTTGTAAGATTACCGGTAATTTGCCGGAATGCTGCGCTGTGTAAACGCAGAAGGAAGATTGCTGGAAAGAGCGCGTGTACGTCTAGAACGTGCTGACGTGAGACATCTGCTTTAGCCAATCAGAACAGTCAAGACGCATTCACGTCCGCGCGATTTATGAGAATAAAAGCATTTGAATATTTTTCCAGACGCATTCAGCTGCTAGAAGTTAGTCAGATAACGTTTATATGTTCATCTAAATGCCAAACGTGTAAATAATTATCGATAAGATGCTTATGATAAGCTGTTGTTTGTTTACTTTTAAGCTTTGCGTGTGCCCGTGAAACAGCCCGTGAGCGCCAGCACACACACATATCATTTACATCTCGACATACGAAGAGTTTCTCTATACGTTTTCATCGAAGTTGTTCACAATACTGATCCATCCACAGAGTTTGTGATGTAGTCATATGTTTACAAACACAAGCGCAGCTGTTTAGAGGTCATTTCTGGTTAATGATGTCAGAATTACCGGTATTTTGGAATGGATGTGTGAATGCTCTTTTCTGGAAAAATTCCGTAACGTCCTCGTCTGTGTGAACAGCACTTTTTTTGATTTACCGGGAAAGTCGTTCCGGAAATTTTCCATATATTTACTGGTATCACTGTATGTAAGGGGCTATAGACTGTAAAAATGCTCTTCTTTGAGTTTGTGTCTTGTTTCTTGTCCAAATGTTAAACAATTCTTAAATTAAGAAGCATTTTAGACAAATTTAGAAATATAACATTGTTTTCAGAAGTAACAAATCAAATCTGTGACAAAAGTGACTTGTTCCTTGAGACAAGCAAAATAATCTGCCATTGTGCCAAATAATCTTGTTTTTGATTTGGGATAAGAATATTTTACTTACGCCAATATAATTTTGACTTATTTTTGAAAACAAAACATTCTTTTTACTTGTCTAGAAAATGCTACTTGATTTATGAACTTTTGGACTTGAAACATGACAAAAACTCTAAGATGCCTCTAATGTAAAATAAGATAATACTCATACCAGGGTTCTTAAATGCACAAAAAGCTTGATCTATGGTTAAAAAGCAGCAGCTCTGATTGGCATAACTGTTTACATAAATTTGCAGTATTAAAAAAAGCTGTTTTAGTTACTAATTTAATTTCAATATAACAACATATATTAATATCTGTTCATAAAAAGGCTGCCACCAAAAACAGCTGGTGATGAGTCAACTAGTAAATATTGTTACGTAAAACATGCCTGACGTCATTTCTCCAAATAAAAAAACAAAACACTACCATGGTAACTAATGATACTAAAATATTGTAGTTAACATTTATTTCACTAAAGAGGTAGTAAAATTGCCTTGTGTACTTTATCATTAAGAACAAAAACAAGGGTATTTCATACCCTTATTTCATACCGACATTATATCGGTAAAGCCTTGATATCGCAATGTGTGTATCTGCAATAGTCACATCGCAGAATTAGATTATTTATTGAAGATTAAAAGATAAAGATGCTATTATATAGTATTATCTTTTTATTTTTTATACAATGGCCATTATGTTGTTTTATGTTTGATTGTTAAATTTCTGTACTCGATTGCTGTTGGACGCCCCAGAAAACCATAAAACACCATTTAATTTTGCTTGTTTAATTTTTGCATTGCATAGAAAAAGACTTGATGATTCCAGTCGATCTAATTATTGAGCTCTTTTCAAATTGAGCTATTGAGCTTGTGCTTCCTCCCACTCCATTTTCAAACATGTTGAAATTAAATTTTTTTTAATGATATTTTATGTATAATATTTTGTTCGAAAATAAATAAATCAAATCAAAACAAAATTGAAACATTTTTGAAACTTCTGTAAATTTCTATTCTAAAATGACTGTAACATTGCATTTTGCATGGCCATAATTTAATAAATACAAGAAATAGATTTTACAAATAATCAAAATGTAGTGATAAATGCCAAATATATATTCACAATTTCAAATACCAGATTTGTATTTTAATATGTTGAATGATTGACTTGGGCTGGGTGTCAAAATTGTATTGGTAATTATTGTCTGTACACCATTGTCAATAACGCCATAAAGAAAAGGCTATAGTGTATGTTTTCCAGTTTAGCGCTTCACGCTCTCTATGCACTTGCATTTTTCAAGCTCAACTTTTCAGAATGCTGCGAGCGCACTGTGATTCATGCAACTACAACTAACCAGTCAGCTTTAAACTTTGTATGGAATATACACATTTCGGTAATAACGGTAGACTAATTACCTTAAACAAATGCAAAGCAGTACTTTTCTCCATAAATAAAACTTGTATCAGAACTGCAGTAAAGCAATGGTGAAGGAAACCACGCACCTTGCACTTTTCACATGCTTATAGGCACAATATGTAAACATCCTCTGGTTGGGTTGCATCATCACCCCCTCAGGTCAGGTCAGACAGCAGCAGTGAGAAGATTGTGAATAAAAAGGATGTATCAGGTCGCCAGAGTGGCTTTTTGGTTTCTTTTCTTGTGCATCCCAGCCCCTAGCACCCTATCTGAAACAATGTAGTCACATGTAATCTGTTAGCATTAAATCCAGAGAATCGACTTTATTTGTAATGTTGCAGTATGTATTTGCATAATGAGGGTTAGTTCCTTTACTTGAAAGCTCAGATTTGATTATCATAATTTTTGTTGACAGAGGTTAAGGTGTACTGTATCATTATTAACCTAAAGATTGCTTTGACTGTTCAGCGTTTACACGTTACCATTGCATATACTTAGCAACATTTTATTTATCGAGTTTAAAAGTCTCTTTAACGTATGTTTCTTTTATTATAAGACATAAGAGACGAGATATTTTTGTAATTTATTTATTTTTTACTATTAAAACTATTTACCTTAGTAATGTTGGCAAATTAAGATAATGTGGTTGAAAAAAAAATGATGACTGGATGTTGTTGATAAATGGATTGTAAAAAAATATTTAATAATTACTGATACCGATTGATATGAAACATTATATTGTGATATTCTTTTTTGCTACATCTCCCAGCCCTATGATTGATATTCAGCAGCTATTCATCCTTCAGTGGCTACGTTTACATGTGCGTTGTTTTCTTCAGTCACTTTAAAATCACTTCAAAATTGATTGAATCCAACTGTAGTGTTTACATGAACACTGAATGTTGTGCTCATTTATGCGTCACAAGATTCAAATCATATTTGATTTTTTGACAAGCACATACTGCATTTATGTACATGGTTGTCTGCTGTTTACATGTCCTGTCACCACTACCGTCACACATAGTCTTGGCTCTAAAGAGTAGACTTAATATTTATATATATTTCAAGTCATAATTAAGAGACCGTGAGGTCATGAAGGTTTGTGCCATCCTGCTTGTATTCATCAAGCAGAAAAATTGCCCATTCTTGTGGCCAGAACAGGCTGTCTGTGGCTGAGAGTGTTAAGTGGGTTCTGCTCCACTTCACAAATGGAATTTTAGAACAACTTCACGGTAATTTATGACACTTCAATCTGCAAAAACAACTGCCCTTTCCATGCGTCATACACACCATCTCTTCGTCAATGAACATATGCAGTTCATACCAGTTTGCTTTCTCAGACTGCTTTAGGGATAGGTGACAATTTCTTTCTGTCAATATGATACAAATACAAAACAAACAAACAAACAAAAAAAACCTTGTTTCAAGAATTTTTAGGGTTCAATGCTAAAACTTTTTCAACTGGCCGAATCAGGCAATTGGTTAAGATTTTTACTTGCCCTGATAAAATTTTCACTGACCCCACCAAAAAACCCCAAAACAATTTAAAAGCTATTTCTTAGCCACTTAATTTAAATAACGTGTCACAATAATGTTTGTAAATCAAGAATTTGATCACAAATTGAAGAGCGGGGAAGGGAGGCGGGGTGGAGCAACAACGCTGGGAAGCAATCACAAATTGAGGAGCGGGGAAAGGAGGCGGGGAAGCCTTCTCAAACTGAGGAGTGATCACAAACCAATAGCAGCGAGAGCTTCAAAGTAGCCAGAAATCATTCATTTTCAATGAGATTCGGCGGCGAGAAACAATGTGGCGCGTCTTCTCCGGTGTGAGCGTTGAGGATTGTTGAAATCAAATCAACTTTATGGTATGAGCTATGATGCGGTTTGGCGGCAAACAATCAGAATGAAGTAGTCCACCGCTTGAGAGGTGTACAGAGAACACAGACCTGTGAACTTTGGTTCCAACCACAGTTGTTCCCAAGAGTTTGATTATTGCGGTTGCCAGATTTACAATTATTGAAAATCGTGACGATGCGGGGCCTGTCCGCTACGCCACTGGTTGTACACGTAAATTTCTGTTTCCAAGATGTTAGAATTAGACACTTTCTTTTTTCAATCTTTATAGCTCTGGGGGAGGGGTTTGTGCAGGTTTTCTTATTTGTTACTTCAATCCCTGTCATTTAGCGACTTTTACGTGCTTGCCCTGCTATTGACAAAAAAATGACATTGCATCTGATCACATATCTTGTCTTTCCAGTGTCCTCTTTTAGTTTTGCTCTGGGTTTTGTCTCGATTTTCCCGTTTTTTGTAACCATGTCCCCTGGTTGCCATTTGAAACAGCCATAAACAAGTTTAATGTTGTTTGGACAATCTTTTTGAACATACACAGTAGCTGGAGCAAACTGGAAATTTAAACATAATTCAAACAGATCACAGTTAATTGTACTTTGAGTTTAGAAAGCAGTTTTTAAGATGCTTTTATTCCCCCCATTTATTTTAGATAGTCATGGAAAAACTGCCCAGAGGCATCGCATATTTTTAAGGATTGGCATTGTGCATATTAAAAGTTTAAAGCATACACACACAATATTGTATTGTTTTTAACTTTTAATGAAGTTGTTTTATTGAATTGTTTATATAATGAAGACTTGTTACAATAACCAGCGATCGAGCGACTACAAATCCGCCATCTATGGACTACAAGCTCCTGTCATGCACTGCACACACTGGTTCCTAATCCTGATTGCAAACACTCACAGCTGAAGCTGCTCATGGACTGATAACAGGACTATTTAAACAGCGTGCACACACTCACACACATCAGTGCTGAGTCTTATTATACTGATTGTGAACATTGCAACACATTTTCCTTGCCTTGCCTTCCGTGTTTGAACCTTGCTTTGTTTTGTGTGTTTTACATTTTCTGCAGCCTGCCTTTTTACCATCTGCCTGTCTATTGACCACAACTCTGGATTGCTCGTATACATCTGTTTGTTCTTGAGTTGAGGATTGCTTGTCTGACCATCCCTGTACAATGAACCTGCATTTGGATCTGCGCCCCTGTTGTCAGCGTCCCACTTTACATTACAAGATTATTTAGTGTTTTAACATTTGATTATTCAAGTTGTATATAAATAATGATTAATGTTTATGAATAATGGTAGTGTAGGGTCCAGCCAGTTGGTCCAATGACGGTATCCAATGGTGGATGAAGGTTCACTGCATGTTCGGTCTTTCCAGTGCACAATGTTGATTTATATTAAACTTAACTCATATCTGACTCCAATTTTAGTATGAGGTGGTTTAGAATATTAATATATTTATCCTCATTTTATCTGACTCCAATTATAAAACATTGAGAAGATTATTTTGTTTCCTTTCACATTATTTTAGATTATGATTGAATATTCTTTTGATTTGTTATTATACCTTATTCTCATTTACTCAGATTCCGATAGCATCTCGAGTCTTGCACCAGCCGGGTATACAATCTCTTAATACAAGCTTGTCAGTCTTGGTCATTAAACAGAGGCGATTAACCACTCTCCTAGAAAGGCAGAACACTACTTACTCAATTTAGGAGATTTTTTATGTGGTCCCCATAGATCTGTTATCTACTAATTCAAGACAAAGTATTTTAATAATAATCGCGCAGGATTATACTATTGTAGATGAAGGCCTAAATATCCACATTTAAAGTAGTTTCAACAATATTTTGTTGTTCTAAATAGTTGGCCTTTTACAGTCCAAGTATACATGAATAAATGCCAATTTGTTAGTCGGATCTCTACCAACATTGTATAGCGTGCCACGCTGCTCCGTCTAACATGTTTTAGTCCGTTACTAACCTGTACAGTGGCTTGTAGTGCTATGAACAACAACATTTATCAGTGATAATAACACAAGGTTTGAATAATTCAAAACATAATTTATTAGTCAGGTAAATGTATTATGCCAAATTCAATCAGTCAATTTATAAACGATCAATACAAAACATCAAATTATCAAAGATAAGTCCAAGATTAAAAGATGCATTCCTGACTTTTTACATAACGTGTAAATTTTACATAACGTGGAGCCTAGGCTCCATGTTATGGGCTGATCTGGGTAGGCAGAATCGCGCTGAGTCTTTCTCAACCCTTACCTTAAATAATCCAAGAATTCCCCCAAGGAAGGGGGTGTGAATAACAAAAGGGAAAGTCACACCCTTCACAGTGGTTCAAAAGATGCCTGAAGTTATATATTTATTGTTTTGATTATGTCTATTTCTGAGAGAATGAGACCATTGTACCAATCGCACTGAGACATTTCAAATGATATCAAACATGATAGTTAAAGTCAGTGTGGTTAATCTAGAACATTCAAACATTGAAATGACCATATGCGTGAGTTGGGGGGATGAAGCTGAGTTTTAGCATACTCAGATGCAAACGCAGCAGGAGCTGGTTTTTCCCGCATTCCCCCCTGGTGGGCTGTGGAGTCCATTGGCCCTGTCTTCAGCTCATGTTTTGAATTGTCAAAGACATTAAAAATATTTGTAATATTTCAATTCTTACAGTAGACTCTCCAGAAAACCATAAAACACAATTTTTTTTTGCTTTTTTCCTTTATTATATTTATACAAAATAAATATATAAAATAAAAAATTGTGTACGATTCACTCTTCTACATAAACATCTCCATCAGTCTAAATTAATAAATTCTTTTCAAATAGAGCTATTGAAGTAATCTGGTTGCAATTTTATCAAAATATAAATATAGGTCAAAATTAAATATGCTCCAGCCCTTCTACACACTTTTCAAACAAACTTGGTGTGGCGGTGGCATTTAGTTCTGCTTTGGAATATAAACGTTATATGAAACATTTAACATGTTTTGTTGTTTTTAGAGGTTTTTATTGTTAACCTATTCGTTCATTATAATTTTAATAGGCCACCCTTGCTTCACATGTTTAAAAAGTTTGCTATATTGAACAGAACAAATTATTTTGACATTTTTTATTTTTACTGTTAACTCGACTCAAGCTTGTTTAACGTGAGATTATTCTGTTTCGCACAGATTCGCATGCAGGCTCAGGGCAGTCTGTTACAGGGCAGTATGATGTCCAACTTCATGAACATCTACCAGACGGAGGGCACACGAGGCCTGTGGAGGGTGAGTACTGACATGACTTTCACATCAGCCGTTTTAACATCCCAAGATCCATCAGTGTGACCTTTATACACTTTGCATTGATACAGTGATGTTTTGATCCTCCTCAGGGTGTTATTCCTACTGCACAGAGGGCAGCCATCGTGGTCGGTGTGGAGCTGCCAGTCTATGACATCACCAAGAAACATCTGATCCGTTCAGGCCTCATGGGAGACACGGTGTTAACTCATTTCATGTGAGAATCTCGATTGTTGTCTGTTCAATATTTGATTTCCTGGTTGATCTTGCGATGAACTTGCATTCTGTTTGTACAGTTCCAGTTTCACGTGTGGCCTGGCAGGCGCTCTGGCCTCTAATCCGGTGGATGTGGTGAGGACGCGGATGATGAATCAGCGTGTGCTCGCCGGTAACCCTCTGTACAAGGGCACGCTGGACGGACTCATGCAGACCTGGAGAAATGAAGGCTTTTTCGCTCTCTATAAAGGCTTCTGGCCTAACTGGCTGCGTCTGGGGCCGTGGAACATCATCGTATCCTTTAAAAATATAGTAACATGGCTTCAAAGTGTTATGAAGCAAATTAGCTCAAGGGGAAATATTAATAATCTTCTTAATAATATTAATTGTTAGTAGGTTTGATCAATTATAATATTTAGATTAGCTCTACGCTTTTACTTGACACCTCTGGGTCAAGTGTTTAATTCTTCAAAGAAGATTAATTTGTAGGTTATGAAATCTTACCATCCAATTCTGAGAGCATGAACATCATCATTGACATCAGTCAAAACAATAAACCTCTTTAAAGTATAATATAAATAAGGCTTTTTTAACAACCCTTGTGTACTGTTCAAATTGACTGCCCTTTCATTATGTTTGTGGCTCTTTTTGCCCCATTGACTTTCATTTTAATAACACTTCTTGATTGCAAAGCCATGACAGCATATACTCATGCGTTCTTGATTGTTGGTGGTTTTTCCTGTTTAATAGAGGTAAAATTTGTAGTTTTTACTGTTGATCATCAGTTAGCAGCATTAACCCTTTAAAAAGGCCTGTGCAAAAAAGGTTTATTTCTTGTTATATAAAGTTCCATAGAGTCAAACAGATTGTGTGCATAAATACACTGACGATGTTTACTACAGTACGTTCTGAGAGCTGAGCTGCTTATTTAGATGTACTCAGACGTATCGAGATGAGTGTGCAAAGATCTCCTCACTCTCACAAGTACACTTTACTCCGTTTAGAAGGCAGAAACTAAGCTTTTTTTTGCACTGCATCTGATGATATCAATCATAAAATCAAAATCGCCATTAATTTAAGTCAAAGGGGTAATACAGGCACAAACAACAAAACGGTAGTACATTTGGCAAGAGTGTATTGTTGAATTTTTTTTATATTTCAAGATGGTTTCCTAAAATTTGTCAAAATAAAATTTGTCACCAAAAATTATTCTACTTGCTGAAACACAGAGAAAGTTGTGGCCAAATTGAGGGTGTACTCGCACTTGGCTATTTGAACCAAGCCCCGGCCCTTTTCCTGGTTTATTAGACAAGTGAGGGCCTACTCACACTATGCCATCCGTACCGTGCCCAGGCCCGTTTCCCGGATCGTTTGAGAAGTGTGAGTGCGCTGAATCGGGCTCAAGCACCGTTCACTTGGCCGGCCCTGGCCCGGTTGGAAGAGGTGTGCCTGAGCGCGGTACACTTGGGCTTTGGCGCGGTACGCTTGTGTGTGAGTGCAAAACACGCCAAAGCCCGAAACTGAAAGTGATACGTGACTTTTAAGGGGTTGTTTCATATGGATTTATTAATAATTCTTACTGTTCAGTGATCGCAAACTGCCGTAGTTTATTAAAGACGAGAACTCCTCACAGCATGACAGCTGCGCACCTTCAGCAGACCTCCTCATTCCTGCAGCACGAGAGCTTAATGATTGTTTATGAGCGCCAAAAGTGGCGGATCTGTCCGGTGAAATATCCGACTGCGTGTCACCGCATCCCTATGGACTGCTTGGCGAAATATTTGACTGCATATCACTGCGTAACAAACGACTGAAACGATATAACTAGAGAAATCTCCACTGTGCTACTGGGTGAGAGTGTATGGCAAGCCGTTTTAGCATTTAAACCTTGTTCTGACTATCCATAAATATATTTAGAGATATCTCTAATTATATTTTGACCAGTCATAATTATAATTTGACTAGTCAGATTGGAGATATCTGCAAATATATTATGACTGACTAGTCATATTCCTCCATTGACTTTCATTGAAAAATATTTGCAGATATCTCTAAATGAGTTTTGACTAGTCACAATTGTAATTAGAGATATCTCCAAATAAATTTTGACTAGTTAAAAATCCAATTCAAGATATCTACAACTGTAATTCGACTATTAGTAAATTAATTAGAGATATCTTCAAATATATTTGTAAATATCTCTAAATATGACGAATTAAAGATATCTCCAAATGTATTATGACTAGTAAAAACTCAGTTAGAGATATCTCTAATTACAATTGTTACTAGTCAAAATTTATTTGGAGATATCGCTAATTACAATTGTGACTAATCAAAACTCATTTAGAGATATCTGCAAATATTTTTCAATGGAAGTCAATGGAGGAATATGACTAGTCATAATATATTTGCAGATATCTCCAATCTGATTTCGTACTAGTACAATTGTAATTGCAGATATCTCTAATTGTCATTCTGAGTAGTGGAATTATAATTATGACTAGTCAAAATATAATTAGAGATATATTTATGGAGTCAGAACAAAGATTTAAATGCTAAAAAGGCTTGGCATAGAGAGCGCTTCACTGAACAGCGCAGCAGCGATGACGTAAGCGTGCCGAGGCCCGATATGGTGTGAGCGCGGGCCGTCGGGGGAGACGGGAGGGGGGACAAGCGTGCTTTGGCCCGGTTCGAGGCAACTGTACCTAGTGTGAGTACGGCCTGAGAGTGGTCAGAATTGCACTCAGGCGTGGTTCAGTTAGCCAGCCCTGGCCTGGTTGAAAGAGGTGTGCCAGAGTGTGGTTCAGCTGGGCTTTGGCTCGGTGTGCTTGTAGTGCGAGTCTTAGACTGATTACGAAACTGAAGACGCGATGTCACGTCTTGTCTGTTTGAAAGAGAGTGTTTGTTGAGGCTCCTGTTGATCTTTGGTAAAGTAGATGCTGAAGTTTTACAAAAAATCTTGGATAAATGAAAAGATAAGGTCACAAGCCTAGGGTGTGGTTGGGGAGAACTGTTAGTTCAGCATCTTCTCTTGTAACACATGGTTGCAAGGAGTTTGTGTTATCTTAAGGGCAGTCTCTTTTATAGGGGACGGAGATTGGGAAGCTGAGATAACCAATGAGAGTTAACTATCACAGGAAAATTATTGACGTGTTTGATCAGGGTTGGAGCTAAATTCTGCAGGAATGTTGCTTTTCAGGACCAGGGTTGGTGACCCCTGCCCTAAACCCTTGAGCACTTGATGACATCTACACTGTTGTGATGTCACAATCGCATTGCATTCTTGGACACTCACTGGCCACTTATTAGTTAGTACATGTCTAACTGCTTGTTAATGCAAATTTCTAATCAGCCGATCACATGGCAGTAATTCAATGCATTTAGGCATGTCAACATGGTTAAGATGTACTGCTGCAGTTCAAATAGAGCATCAGAATGGGGAAGAAAGGTGATTTTAGTGACTTTGAACATGGCATGATTGTTGGTGCCAGATGGGCTAGTCTGAGTATTTCAGAAACTGCTGATCTACTGGGACTTTCACGCACCACCATCTCTAGGGTTTACAAAGAATGGTCTGAAAAAGAGAAAATATCCAGTGAGCTTCAGTTCTGTGGGCGAAAAATGCCTCGTTGATGCCAGAGGTCAGAGGAGAATGGCCAGACTGGTTCGAGCTGATAGAAAGGCAACAGTAACTCAAATAAACACTCATTACATCTGAGGTGTGCAGAAGAGCTTCTCTGAACGCACAACATGTCGAGCCTTTAGGGTCATGGGCTACAGCAGCAGAAGACCACACCGGGGACCACTTCCTCAGAACAGGAAACTGAGGCCACAATTCACGCAGGCATACAGACTATAGAAGATTGGAAAAATGTTGCCTGGTCTGATGAGTCTCTATTTCTGCTGCAACATTCAGATGGTAGGGTCAGAATTTGGCATCAACAACATGAAAGCATGTATCCAACCTACCTTGCATCAACGGTTCAGGGTGGTGGTGGTGGTGGTGTAATGGTGTGGGGGATATTTTCTTGGCACACTTTTGGCCCATTAGTACCAATTGAGCATTGTGTCTACGCCATTTGTTGCTGACCATGTTCATCCCTTTATGACCACAGTGTACTCATCTTCTGATGGCTACTTCCAGTGGACCAAAATGTCTAAGGGATATTACCAGTACATTTTTGAATCTATGCCACGAACGATTAAGGCAGTTCTGAAGGCAAAAGGGGTTCCAACGCGGGACTAGTAAGATTTACTCCCACGGGTAAAATCTAGTTATCGAGGGTCCATGTAAACTTCCCTCGTTCACTTGATAAAGTGGAAGACACTTTTGGCTGTTAGGGATTTCTCAAGGGAACAAGGAAAGGAAAGTTAGCTTGTGCATGTCTAAAGGTGGATTGGAACACGCCTTTTGTCTTCAATGAGCATTCTGATTGGATGTTGATGAAAATGTTACAAGCATCTTACAATGCTAATATGCTGCACAAGTATCAACATCTTGTTTATCTGTATTAGTAAAACAATTCTAATTCAAGTTTTACCGCATAGGTTAATACACAAGCAACAGATAATCAATAAACTCTTGATAACACAGACGATGGTAATACATGCTTGTATGAATCATGACTGAATATATAAAAAGGTCATAATCTTAAAATGGACTGTATAGAAGTGGTTGCATTTGTCTTTTCAGTATGGAATAAGCACATTTCTTTTTGGTAAAGCTTTTTAGATGATGGTGTCAGTGTAATTAGGTGTTTAAGATATCTATAAGCTTGTGTGCTCTAAAACAGTGAGAAAGTTTGCATTTATTAGATATAAAACTGATATCAACATATAAAGCTTGTAGTTTCACTTCCACCTAAATGGATCAAAGGTTTTATTCACATAACCTCATACTACAGTTTTTCATCAAATCATAACCAATCAAATGCTCTCTAGTATCTGACATGCCCCGCCCCCATCAAGACGCTTCTCATTTGCTTTTCATTTGATGCATTTGAGCTCAGTCACTCTCACTGTAAGTGCGATGATTAAAACAAAAACACTATTGGTTGTTTTTAAGGGGAAGGAGCTACACTGTCACACCCTCTCATCATGTTTCGGTTGAGATCGAATAAAAAATGCATATTTTAAAGCATACCATGGGACCTTTAAATGCCTACATGATTGTTGTGGAAAGAGTATTTTTGTGTTGTTTTTTGCTAATTGCAATGTGGTGAAACTGTGGCGCAGTGGGTAGCAATGTCGCCTCACAGGAAGAAGGATGCTTATTCAAGTTTGCATGTTCTTCCCGTGTTGGCATGGGCATTCTCCTGAGGCTCCGGTTTCCCCCACAGTCCAAAGACATGTGGTATAGGTGAATTGAATAAGCTAAATTGGCTGTAGTGTATGTGTGTGAATTCAAGAGTGTATGGGTGTTTCCCATTGGAAGAGCATCCGCTGTGTAAAACATATGCTGGATAAATTGGCAGTTCATTCCACTGTGGCGACCCCTGATTAATAAAGGGACTAAGCCGAAAAAAATGAATGAATAATTGTAATGTAAATGTTTACCCAAAACCAAATTCTGTTATTACTCCCCTTTACATTGCTCCAAACCCGTAAGATCTTCAGAAATGGAATTAAGATATTTTAGAGAGCAATGGTCCTGAGATGTTCAAACTCAAAAAAGAATGGTGAACGTCGTTGAAGTATTCTAGTGGTTCAACTTTAACCATACAAAGCTCTGAGAACACTTGTGTGCCAAAAAACTTGCATAAATGACTTGCACAAAATTGTTCTTTAGGCTTTGTATGGTTACAGTTGAACCACTGAAGTTAAATGGAAACATGGAAGTTACATGGTTTTGACAATGTTTTTAGTTGCTTTTCTGATCTCAGATTTCATTTAAAATATCTTCTTTTTTGTTCTAAAGATGAACTAAGGTATTTTGGGGGTTTGGAACGGCATAAGGGTGAGTAAATAAAAATGGAATAATAAAAGGATTTTCATTTTTGGGTGAACTAATGCATTTGTGGTGTTTACATGGCTCGAACACTAGAGGTCAGCACATTGCAATCTAAGGTCTGACACTCTGACCCATAGCCATTTTCACCCAAGCTGAGATGCTTTCTTTACTGCACTAGGTTAGTATATTATTTTTGCATTTATTTAATCTAGAAAACACTAAAACCACAATATTATGAGTTTAATTTCACTTTTATTTATTTTTTTAAACCTGCGATGGCAAAACTGAATGTATTACTCAAGTCTGCAGTACTAATCATCTTCTAGAAATCATTCTGATGCTTTAAGTGTCCAAATAATCTGTCCATTGTGTGGAATATAGAGGTTTTATTTTCTCAATAGTATTTAAAATAAAACAAAAGTACGTTTATTTCAATTTTATTTTATCATGTTTTACTTTTCAACAGTAAAGCTCTCTTTGTACATTGGAGGTAGGGCTGCACGATATTGAAAAATCTGACATTGCTTTTATTGGGCTGCAAATAGAGGATTTGAACAGTTTTATTTGGAAAGAGTTAATTATTAGATCGACTGAGGCGATCAAGCCTTTTTCTATGTGGTGCAACTGCATGAAATATAATAAGTTACAAGCAATAGAGCAAAAATAAAAGTAAAAAAAAAAATAGTGCTTCATGGTTTTCTTGGGAGTCAACAGAATTGAAAAACTAAAATTGAACAATCAAACATAAAATAACATTTATGTATAATTTTTTTTTACAATATAGTTAAATAGTATTTATTAATGAATTTATCCTTTAATCCTTAATAAATAATAAAATCCTGCAATGTGACTATTGTGGATACACATACTGCGATATCAATGCTCAAATGAAATATTGTTCAGCCCTAATTAGAGCTGTCTAGAATTATGAAAGTCAGAAACATAATTAATCTTTTCAACATCCACTACTTTGTTTACAAGTTATCTCCAGTCATAATTTCAATTTCCTTTTGGATAGAATAATATAGATTATACCCAACCCAGGGTGTCTGCATGGTCTTGCAGTCTGAAAATGTTTTATCTCAAAAATAAAAATTTTAGGCCTCAAAAAGTCTTAAATTTACTGAAATAATGTGTTGTAGGTCTTAAATCTTTTTAAACAGGTCTTAATTTTCCTTTGTTCATGTATCACTACCCAATTTGGCCAACAGCCATACAATCACTAACAGTCTATCGCAATAACTTTAAACTTTATATTTAAAAATGTTATTTTGAACTATTTACCAATTACTTTCTATACAAAAACATTTGTTTAAAAGTGCTCCATGCATTTACTGCTGAGGACCCCGACCTGGACAGATTGCTGTGCATAGATTTCATTTATTATATTTTTAAAACGTTTGAAACATTTGTCCATTTTTAAATTTTATTTTAAAGAAAGTTTATGTTAGAAAGAAAAGTATGCATACAAGTAGAGCTTGCTCGTTTTTACACAATAGATAAAATATGAAATATTTTATTTGAAAATCTAAAATATATAAAAACAATATTAAATTAATAGTTCTTTAATGATTAATGATATGATTATATTAATAAGGAAAATATTTCCCCCCCCCGTCTGGGCTATTTGAAAAATAATTAATGTTAAACTCTGTGTGAGTCTTAAATTGTGTTCATAATGGTCTTAAAAACGTCTTAACGTCTTAAATTTAACTTGGTGAAACCTGCAGAAACCCTAGTGTTTGCATCCATACACACACAAATGCATTCAGAACTGCATGCCAGTTTGCAGTTTCTTGTGACTCACCCTTTATAATTTGGTCTACTAAAAATATCCAGTCCATATATGTGCCTCAGAAAACACTGACTATTGTATGTTTATTTTTTTGCATGCAGTTCAACACATTCACTACACAGATGGTAAAGTCACATTCATAACCCAGATCAACATGATTGACGAGCACCTTTGCTGAAAAGCAGTGCACGAAACACTAAACTTTGCTCCAGGCAAAACATAATTCACATTGTGTAATGAACAGAAAATATCTGTGTGCATGTGTGTGTACACTACTAACATGTATGTGATGGATTAATTAAGTGAATACAGTGTGTTCTGATCTTTCTGTGATCCTTGACTGAAGTTTCAGTTCTTCATGACCTTCGAGCAGCTGAAGAAGCTTCCATTGTAGCCGAATCTACAACATCTCTGAAACGTGTGTGTTTGTGTGCTTGTTTGTGTGTGTATGGGGCTTCTGTCTCTCAGCATTCACCATCCCTTCATCTACGAGTATGTTTATTTAAGAACTTGTTTTATTCTGTTCTCATTTGTGTTGTACATACTTGACGTATTTAAACGCTCTCCTTTTTGCACCTAAATGCTTTATTTTTGACTCCTGGCAGCTACCGTATCGCTTCCGTCAGCTGTTTTACAGGCCCAGTGGTGTTTTAATATATGCTTGGTCAGCTAGGAGCCGCACTGGTGAATATTTGAGGTAAAGGGCTTTAGCTTAAACTGGAAAACCACCAGGCATAGTTTTCTCCACACTGGCTTGAGAGTCCGGCTTAATAGCACAGTTGTCAAAGTTACTGAAGACACGTCCATTAGGTTGGGATATAAAGCAATACTTTGGGGTTTACCTCCATGCAAGCAGATGTTTTACATCTTAGCCCTGAGGAATATTTGAGGTCGGCAGACTCCAAATCAGACTTTTCGCATATAGACACGACTTCATGAGGAATGTTGTTTTACTGTATATGTAAACTGTTGATATGATGGGAATCATCAATGTTACAAAGTTTAATACAGCCAAAATTATTACCAAAGGTAATATAGTGATGTGACCTTCATATCCTGGAACTTTGAGTTCAGTGGCTCTTATTCATCATAAAACAAAAGCAAATTTCAGTGTCGTTGAAATGAATAGTTCAACCAAAAATGAATGAAAGGTTTGTTGCAAATGTACTGACCTTCGGCTAGTTCAAGTTGTAGGTGACTTCCTTTCTTTAGTAGATTTGATTGTGATGGTGATTCATATATTGAAAGTCAATGACTACTAGTACTTATATATTCCCAAACCCCCCCAAACAAGCAAATGCAGGCCTTATGAAGTGAAATAGTTGGGAAGAAACTGGACACTATTTACAACAATATAACCTTTTATCTACAGCCTCAGCAAAAAGAGCTGAGCTCATTCATGACTTTAAAGAGTGCCAGATTTCTGTCATGTAAAGATGTATACAGGTATGTGAACTCTGTATGTTTACTATAGAGAGGGATGATATGTGCATTGTATTGATCACCAAAATGGTACTTATTTGTAGAATCCCAACGTTTATTAAACCTCATTGCACTATGATGTGCGCTCACCAGACTCAAACTTAAAATAGTAGGTTTTTTTCTGCTATGTAAGTCAATAGTTGGAGGTTTCCAACATTCTTTGTGTTCAACAGAACAAAGAAACTCAAACTAGTTTGGAACGAGTGACGAGTGAGACGAGTAAAAAACGACAGAATATCTATTTGGGCATGAACGTTTCCTTAAGTGGTTCTAATCTTTTATGAATTAGTCTTCTGTTGAACACAAAGAATAATATATTAAATTGTCATCTGTAGTAGTAAAAACAAATACTGAAGAAGACAGTGGCTTCAACAGAAGATTGAAAGTCAACCTGGTTTGGATCGAGTGAATTATTGCTTTATTTTTTGACAATTTTTGTAATCTAACCATTGATTTTGCTTAGACTGAGTGTTGTAAATAATATTCAGTTTATTGCACAGATTAATCAATTTGTTTTGGAAGTCCTCATTAATATTGTCAGGAGCCATGGTTATTAATGTTGATTTAACTCTATATATATTTTTTTTACTCTCAAAGTGCTGTATGTATTAATTTGCATTATATGATTCACCAAGGACTACAGTTTAAGCTAAGAATCTTAAATAATGTTCCCCTGAAGAAAAAGTGTCACCCACACACCTTTGGTGAACTGAGTAAAGGAAATTAAGAATTAACTTAATCCCTTTAAATCTTTATCAGACAGAAAAAAATTCTGGCTGTGTATGTTTCAGTGTATTATAAGGCCTGTATTATGTTTAAAGATTTATTTCACCTAAAAATTTAAATTATTAATTATTCACCCTAATGTCCTTCCAAACCTCAGAGACTGTGTTTGGAAAACACATTAAAGTGTTTTTGATGAAATTTGTGAGCTCCCTCATCCTCCATAGACAGCAACAGTCCTGAGTTGTTCAGAAAAATACCAAAAAAAAAAAAAAAAAATTCATTCTCAAAACAGTCTGTATGCCTTCAATGGTTTAATTGTAATATTATTAAGCTATTAGAATATTTTTTATTTGCACATGAAACAAAAATAATGTCTTTATTCAACATTTTCTTTTTCACAGTTTCAGCATGAGGCATGCGACATGAACGTGCACACTATACTGACACTGAGAAGAAGAAACCCTTGAATAAAGTCTTCATAATTTTTGTTTTATGTGCACACAAGTATTCTCATATAGCTTGAGAATAGTCCAACTGTAGGCATATCGTCTGTTTTGAGGATGCTTTTTTTTTTCAGGACTCTGATCAAGTCAGGAATCTTGCTGTCAACGCAGGATGAGATTCAGTGAAGCTCTAAGATTTAATCTAAAATATCCTAATTTGTGTTGTGAAGATGAGCGTGAATGTTTCCCTGGACTGGCGCGTAATCAATAACGTTCATTTCATTTTTGGGTGAACTAACCCTTTAAGATCTGGGTCAGGAGTTTTTTTTTTTTAATCTTTATTTGCTTGAACATGCACTGCATTTAAAGCATTTGTGATTATTGCACAAGATCTGTACTGTTTTATTTGACTTTTTTTCTTGCTTTTTGTTGCAGCAAGGTCTTTATTGCCATGCATTTATTGTGTGTGTATGTGTGTGTGTGCGCGCGTGTGTGCGTGTGTTCTGAGAAGCACATGTAAAATGTCAAATATTTTGGCAGCTGTGTGTAAATACTGCTTCTGTATGATAGAATAAAATAATAGCATATAGTTTTTTTTGTTTTGTTTTTTCGTTTTAAATCGGATTTTGTGGAAAAAGGGGTTCGGTATAGTATTTTGGGTGCTTGCCTCTTTGCCAAAGTGTACATGTATTGAACCAGAGCTGCACTGTTAATGCTGAGTTTTTAAAAGTGACACATTATTATAATTATTATTAATGTTATGATCGGGAAAAGTACTGTTACATATTTATCACTGTATTTCGTCAACATATTTCAAGCCTTACCACTTCCTGCTTTTATATGTATGCCTTTGCCTGATTGTTTCATGCCTCTCGGTGTGCAAGCCAAACATTCTGCTATGATTTTACTTTGCTCTGTTGTTCTTTTAACATGCTCCTAAGCAAATTCAATTGTACTGTAAATCTTTAAGCAAACATTCTTGATTAAGTTATATTATGACTGAAAGGGGACATGTTTAAAAGGTTTAATGTACTGTATGTAACTGATGGGTCATTCTAAGGGGTTTACCTGTTTGATACACTTCCTTCCAGATCTTTCTCAGACTTTGGCTTTCGCTAGATTGGTGAATTCAGCATGGTGCATGCTATATTCTTCTGAAAATGCTTATTTCATTACATGTAGCAAAGACCAAGAACCACATTAACCCCCCATATGCCAGTGTTTTTACTTTGATTTAGCCCACAAATCATATTTTTTTATTTATTTAGGGAATATTTTATTCATGCTGTTATTGTTTGATTTCTTTTATAGAGGTACTTTGGATTTGTTGTTAATTTAAATGCAGAATGTTTCATACATTGAGGAAGATGATAGTTTATTGCCCCATCTCAGCTATTTATTTGATAAATGAGATGATGGAAATAAGCGGAATGAAATTTATGGTGTATAATAATACGCACTAACACAGTTTGGAAATGCCAAAATCAAATACTACAGTATATAATGTAGTAACATTCATCCCCTAACACTATTTTGACTTGTTTTTTTATCATTCTTTTCCGTTTCAGAATGCAGCAATAGCCACATTTGCTTGCCATTGCCAAATTTAATTGTGATCCACTGTTTGGTTAAGTGTCTCTGGGAAACACGGACATTATTTATGATCTGTTGCTTGAATAGACAATGAATTGTATTACAAATGCCTGTTTTTTTTTTTTGTGGTTGGTTTGACTTATTTCTCTTTGTCTGATATAACTGCACCCTGACAATAAATACAATGTTCACTGAATCTCGGTTGTTGTTCATGTCATTAGTCTTTTTGAAGCACAGAAGTTAACAAATGCTCAAATAATTAAATAGCAACGTCATATGGGTTTAAGCCAATGGTCTCAAACTCAATTTCTGGAGGGTTGCAGCTCTGCATACTTCAGCACCAACCACCTCCAACTCACAGCTGCTTAATAGTCTCTAGTAGTCTGGAACACCTTGACTTGTTGGATCATATGTGTTTGATTACGGTTGGAGCACTCTACTGTGCAGAGCTGCGACCCTCCTTCCAGTTTGAGAAGTTTTATAATGTTTATATTATAGGTTTAGCAATGGAGGTGCAATAACTATGGGGATGGAAGATGTTTTAAGGAAAAAGCTAAAATAAAATTCAATTCAATTCAATTCAGCTTTATTTGTATAGCGCTTTTACAATGTAGATTGTGTCAAAGCAGCTTCACAAAAATGGTCATAGTAACTGGAACAGTGTGGTTCAGGTTTTAGTGTTTAAGTTCAGTTCAGTTCAGTTCAGTTTAGCTCAGTTCAGTGTGATTTAATCATTACTGAGAGTTCAAACACTGAAGAGCAAATTCATCGATGCGCAGCTCTACCAATCCTGAACCATGCGAGGCAGTGGCGACAGCGGAGAGAGAAAAAAAACTTCACCTGATGGGAGTGAAGAAAAAAAAACCTTGAGAGAACCAGACTCAGTTGGGCACGACCATTTTAATTTCTCCGCTGGCCAAAAGTCTTGTGCAGAACTTCATTCGCCGTGGTTTATGCTGGAAGATGGCCTCAATGAAGACTCGTCTGTCCCTGGAGCGTCGCTGAATCAGACACATGTTCTCCACTCCCCACGACCATCAGCGCAGCAGCAGCTCAGGATATGGCCTGGTCCCGGATATGGAATCCTTGGGATCATCACGTCGCTGGTCTTGGATCCAATCAGTGACTCCGCCTAATCTGAGGACCTCGGGATGAGTATCCCCAGGTGAAAATAGAGAATAAAGAGAATAATTAGCGTAGCTGCTGTTCATAGTGTATATAAGCAAGATGCAGAAGCCAGTGTGGAACCCGTTAGGTGATGCATTGAGTGTATGCTTTACTAAACAGATAGGTCTTTAGTCTAGTTTTGAACTGGGAGAGTGTGTCTGAGCCTCGGACGTTATCAGGAAGGCTATTCCAGAGTGTAGGAGCCATGAAAGAGAAGGCTCGACCTCCTTTACTTGATTTTGCTATTCTAGGTACTACCAGAAGCCCTGAATTATGAGATCTTAAGGAACGAGTTGGTTCGTAGCGAGACAGAAGGTTGGTTAGATAAACAGGAGCTAGATTATTTAGAGCTTTATAGGTGAGAAGTAATATTTTAAATTCAATACGAAATTTAACAGGCAGCCAGTGTAAGGAGGATAAAATTGGGGTTATATGATCATATTTTCTAGACCTGGTCAGAACTCTGGCTGCTGCATTTTGTACTAATTGAAGTTTGTTAATAGAGGATGCTGGGCAGCCAGCTAATAGAGCATTACAGTAATCCAGTCTCGAAGTCATAAAAGCATGGACTAGCTTTTCTGCATCTGAGATGGATAGCATATTTCGTAATTTAGCGATATTTCTCAGATGAAAGAAGGCAGTTTTTGTGACATGGGATATTTGGTTTTTAAAAGTTAGATTGCTGTCTAATATGACACCCAAATCTTTTATAGTAGAGCTATAGCTAACTTTGTATCCCTCTAATTGTAAATTGAGTTGCGAGATCTGCTGTGTGCAAGATTTAGGCCCAATAAGTAATAATTCTGTTTTGTCTGAGTTTAAGAGAAGAAAATTGTTGGTCATCCAGTCTTTGATGTCTTTGATACACTCAGTTAGTTTAGAAAGTTCAGACGTCTCGTCAGGTTTAGTGGAAATATATAATTGAGTATCATCTGCATAGCAGTGAAAGCTGATCCCATGTCTTCTAATAATGTCTCCCAGTGGTAGCATGTAAATTGTAAACAGTAAAGGGCCTAAAACTGATCCTTGAGGCACCCCATACTTTACTGGGCAGATTTGTGAAGGCTGTCCATTAAGATTCACAAACTGGTAGCGGTCAGTTAAGTATGACTTAAACCATTGTAGAGCCTGTCCCTGGACACCTGTAGACTTTAAGCGATTTATGAGGATATTGTGGTCAATGGTATCAAATGCCGCACTAAGATCGAGTAAAACTAATAGCGAGACGCACCCTCGGTCAGCAGCTAAGAGTAAATCGTTGGTTATTTTCACTAAGGCGGTTTCTGTACTGTGGTGAGCCCTGAAACCTGACTGAAACACTTCAAAAATATTGTTCGTCTGCAGATAAGAGCATAATTGAGTGGAAACAACTTTTTCTAGTATTTTAGACATAAATGGAAGATTAGAAATAGGCCTATAGTTAGCTAAGTTGTTGGTGTCTAGTTGCGGTTTCTTAATAATAGGCTTAATAACAGCTAGCTTGTAAGAGTAGTAAATAAGTAGTAAATAAATATTTAATAACACAAACACATTTGAGGAATTCCATGCAAATTGTCAACATTGCCATGAAAATATAAAGTATAAAAAATATATAAAAATTAAGTTTTTAACAAAAAAAAAAAAAAAAAAAAACTGATGTTTTTGTTGGCCTAAATTTGACTACTTTAAAATCACTCAAATGTCTTTGGTAAAATAGTTTGAAAATGTTGACATGTTGACCTTTGAAAACATTGATTTGTCACATCCATAATTTTACTTCACAATGCAAAAATTAGTACATTTAAATTGAAAAAATGTATTTTTTAGAGTGCTTATATACTCATCCTTCTGATTAGTATTATTTCTTTAACATTGAGCAGTGTAATTCACAGAATTTCTACCGAGTTTGTTACAGTAAACACTTCTTTTTGGCCGTATCCATAATGCAGGTTTATTTCTTTTTTTTAAAATATAAAATGTTTACATTCATTGATATTCTTCAGATTTTTTTAACAAAACAGGTGTTACGTTTAATACAGTGTTAATGTTAAGGCTACATCCTCTGTGAATTTAAGTTTTTACTGCAAATATATCACATCCATCATACTGGAATTGCTCAGTTGTATATAAAATATACAAATTAACAACTAAAACATTTGAATGATTATATGCATAATTGTGGTAAAACATAAATAAAGTTTATTTAAAAAAAACCCTAATTTTATTAAAAAAAAAGAAAATATTATAGTAGCTTATAGGCCAAGAAAATAATTCTCAATTCAACCACAAATTATGTTGATCTATAATGGATAAAAACACAAACACCTAAAATATTGCTTAGTATTGTGTTTGTGTTGAGAATTTAAGAACAAAAGTTTATTTCTAATAAATTTAATAAAATACATAAAATGTATTTCTAAGTATAATTAATAAAATATATTAAAAGTCTGCTGTCAGCATTAGAAGTTATTCCTGTTTTTATTTTGTTTTTTTTCCATGTTTTTCAAAATTGTCATAGGACAATAATGGATGTTGTATAATAGCTTTGGACAATGATGAAAGCAAGGTGATGATCCACTTTAAATGTTGACGGTATGCTTGATCGCATTATGGTTTTAATTAAACATATTAAAATAATGCTAGTATGCAGGTTTTGAATGCATTATGTAAAAAATGTGTTATGCAATAATCTGGAAGAATTCTTTCTATTTTATTTCAGTAATGTTTGAAAACTTTGACAGGTGGGTAGAAACAATAGCTCTTCGTCACCTCCACTGTGAGAAATTTGATCTGAGGGAGGAGAGATTGAGAAAACACGCCTCTCCTCATTTATACAACTTTACCGGAGAGACGTCAGGAGTAGTCGGGCAGCGGCGCACCGGGGCTTCGCGAACTTCACAACAACAACTGAATGTTATTTCTCGTTCAAACTTCATACAACTCGCAGAAATGACTCTTCCTTACGGCCAAAGCGTGACCACCCTGAGGACCGTGACCGTCGCGGAACCGAGCAAGCAGACCGTCCTGACGTCTCCCGTCGGGTTAAGCGAAGGTTCGACGACTTACCGGACGGTGAATCTCTCGGGAGCTCAGTATCAGCCAGTCCAGTACATGAACAGTCAGGTGGAGGGCAACTTTATGTACGGGGGCGCTCGGTACCTGGTGCCCGTCCAGCAGCAGCCCGCCGAGTCCTATGTGTACGTGCGTCAGGCGCCGCGCGTCGTACAGCCGGTTTACTTACAGAACGTTCAGCCGGTGAGCCTCAGCAGCGTCGACGAGACCGACGTCAGACAGGTGGTGAGTTTTTAATATTTTCCTATTGCTGTACATCGTTATCCAAATGAATGAGTGTTAATATATCTCATTATTGCATTTAAAAAAATGACGTGTGCTGTTTGTTCAAACTACTTATTTAAAATGAACTGAAATAACACAATTCTTCAGGTGTTTTTTTGATACAACCTAATTAATTTATGCTCAATTCACTTAAATTTATAGAAAGTATTGTTAACTTAATTCCTTCACGTTATTCTAACACAAATACATACATTCTTGCAGCTTATTTTGTTGAATCAAATTAACTTTCTAGTCATTTCAACTTAACTTAGGCCCCTATATCAATAAAACTGGCTAAAAATATTAAAATAAACCTGGCATTAACTTAGTTGACAAAACATTTGTATAGGCATGAATTTTTGGATATCTATTTTAAAGTGTAGCAGTAGGCTAAGTGTTATGCAACTAATTATAATAGACAAAAAATTAAGAAAATGTCTAAAATAAGATGTGTTGGAGATAAAGGGATAGTTCAATTCTGTCATCATTTACTCACCCTTTACTTGTCACAAACATGTATGTTTTTTCTTCTTCTTCTGAACACTAAAGAGGTTATTTTGAAGAAAGTTGTAAACCTGTAACCACCGACTTCCATATTTGTTTTTCCTGCTATGAAAGTCAATTTTTGCTGGTTTGAACATTCTTCAAATTATCTTCTTTTGTGTTCAACAGAATACAGAAACTCATAAAGGTTTTTAACCACTTGAATGTGAG